AAAGAGGAACAGGATGTTCTCTCTTCTAGAGAGGGGTAAAGAGGAACAGAATGTTCTCTCTTCTAGGGAGGGGTAAAGAGGAACTGTATGTTCTCTCTTCCAGGGAGGGGTATAGAGGAACAGAATATTCTCTCTTCCAGGGAGGGGTAAAGAGGAACCGAATTTTCTCTCTTCCAGGAAGGGGTGTAGAGTATTTGGAGGTTTTCTCTTCTAGGGAGGGGCATTGAGGAACAGGATGTTCTCTTTATCTAGGGAGGGGTATACAGGAACAGAATGTTCTCCCTTCCAGGGACGGTTATGGAGGAACAGAATGTTCTCTCTTCTAGGGAGGGTTAAAGAGGAACAGGATGTTCTCTCATCTAGGGAGGGGTATAGAGGAATAGAATGTACTTTCTTCCAGGGAGGGGTATAGAGGAACAGATTGTTCTCTCTTCTAGGGAGGGTTAAAGAGGAACAGGATGTTCTCTCATCTAGGGAGGAGTAAAGAGGAATAGAATGTTCTCTCTTCTAGGGAGGGGTAAAGAGGTACAGGATGTTCTCTCATCTAGGGAGGGGTATAGAGGAACAGGATGTTCTCTCTTCTAGGGAGGGGCATGGAGGAACAGGATGTTCTCTCTTCTAGTAAGGGGGTTAGATCAAGGAACTGAATGTTATATTTTCTAGGGAGGGGTGAAGCAAAATGTGATGTTCTTTCCTCCAGGGAGGGGTATTCAATTCAATTCAATTCATTTCAATTTTTTCTCGCAATATAACAATTAAAATATACAAAGTAACAGTAAATTTTAACTAAGTTTACAATGGTTATATGCAGGGCTTTCAATGAAGGTTGCGAAAACCTGTAAAGTTGGATTGCCCAAAATTGTATTGAGGAACAAGTTTTGTTCTCTCTTCCAGGGAAGAGGAGCAGAATGTTCTGTCTTCTAGGAAGAAGTAAAGAGGAACAGAATGTTCTCTCTTCTATGGAGGGGTAAAGAGGAACCGAATGTTCTCTCTTCCCGGAAGGGGTGTAGAGTATTTGGAGGTTCTCTCTTTTAGGGAGCGGCATTGAGGAACAAGATGTTCTCTTATCTAGGGAGGGGTATATAGGAACAGAATGTTCTCCCTTCCAGGGAGGGGTATAGAATCACACAATGTTCTCTCTTCTAGGGAGGGTTAAAGAGGAACAGGATGTTCTCTCATCTAGGGAGGAGTAAAGAGGAATAGAATGTTCTCTCTTCTAGGGAGGGGTAAAGAGGAACAGGATGTTCTCTCATCTAGGGAGGGGTATGTAGGAACAGAATGTTCTCCCTTCCAGGGAAGTTGTGAAGTTGGATTGCCCAAAATTGTATTGAGGAACAAGTTTTGTTCTTTCTTCCAGGTAAGAGGAGCAGAATGTTCTGTCTTCTAGGAAGTGGTAAACAGGAACAGAATGTTCTCTCTTCTAGGGAGGGGTATATAGGAACAGAATGTTCTTCCTTCCAGTGAGGGGTATAGAGGAACAGAATGTTCTCTCTTCTAGGGAGGGTTAAAGAGGAACAGGATGTTCTCTCATCTAGGGAGGAGTAAAGAGGAATAGAATGTTCTCTCTTCTAGGGAGGGGTAAAGAGGTACAGGATGTTCTTTCATCTAGGGAGGGGTATAGAGGAACAGGATGTTCTCTCTTCTAGGGAGGGGCATGGAGGAACAGGATGTTCTCTCTTCTAGTAAGGGGGTTAGATCAAGGAACTGAATGTTATATTTTCTAGGGAGGGGTGAAGCAAAATGTGATGTTCTTTCCTCCAGGGAGGGGTATTCAATTCAATTCAATTCATTTCACTTTTTTTTCGCACTATAAAAATTTAAAAATACAAAGTAAGAGTAAATTTTAACTAAGTTTATAATGGTTATATGCAGGGCTTTCCATGAAGGTTATGAAAACCTGTAAAGTTGGATTGCCCAAAATTGTATTGAGGAACAAGTTTTGTTCTCTCTTCCAGGGAAGAGGAGCAGAATGTTCTCTCTTCTAGGGAGGGGTGTAGAGTATTTGGAGGTTCTCTCTTCTAGGGAAGGGCATTGAGGAACAGGATGTTTTCTCTTCTAGGGAGGGGCATGGAGGAACAGGATGTTCTCTCTTCTAGGGAGGGGTGTAGAGTATTTGGAGGTTCTCTCTTCTAGGGAAGGGCATTGAGGAACAGGATGTTTTCTCTTCTAGGGAGGGGCATTGAGGAACAGGATGTTTTCTCCTCTAGGGAGGGGCATTGAGGAACAGGATGTTTTCTCTTCTAGGGAGGTGTATAGAGGAACAGAATGTTCTCTCTTCTAGTAAGGGGGTTACATCAAGGAACTGAATGTTATATTTTTTAGGGAGGGGTGAAGCAAAATGTGATGTTCTTTCCTCCAGGGAGGGGTATTTAATTCAATTCAATTCATTTCAATTTTATTTCGCAATATAAAAATTAAAATATACAAAGTAACATTAAATTTTAAATAAGTTTACAATGGTTATATGCAGGGCTTTCCATGAAGGTTGTGAAAACCTGTAAAGTTTGATCGCCCAAAATTGTATTGAGGAACAAGTTTTGTTCTCTCTTCCGGGGAAGAGCAGCAGAATGTTCTCTCTTCTAGGGAGGGGTATAGAGGAACAGAATGTTCTCTCTTTCTAGGGAGGGGTTTAGAGGAACAGAATGTTCTCTCTTCTAGGAAGGAGTAATGAGGAAAACAATGTTCTCTCTTCTAGGGAGGGGTAAAGAGGAACAGGATGTTCTCTCTTCTAGAGAGGGGATTAAGAGGAACAGAATGTTCTCTCTTCTAGGGAGGGGTGAAGAGGAACAGAATGTTCTCTCTTCTAGAGAGGAGTAAAGAGGAACAGGATGTTCTTTCATCTAGGGAGGGGTATGTAGGAACAGAATGTTCTCTTTTCTAGGGAGGGGCATGGAGGAATAGGATGTTCTCTCCTCTAAGGAGGGAGTATAGAGGAACAGAATGTTCTTTCTTCCAGGGAGGGACATGGAGGAACAGAAATTTCTCTCCTTTAAGGAGGTTGTGAAGGAACAGTATGTTCTCTCTCCCAGGGAGGGGTATAGAGGAACAAAATGTTCTCTCTTCCAGGGAGGGATGTAGAGGATTTGGAGGTTCTCTCTTCAAGGGAGGGGCATTAAGGAACAGCATGTTCTCTCTTCCAGGGAGGGGTAAAGAGGAACAGAATGTTCTCTCTTCTAGGGAGGAGTAAAGAGGAACAGAATGTTCTCTCATCTAGGGAGGGATATGTAGGAACAGAATGTTCTCTTTTCTAGGGAGGGGTATAAAGGAACAGTATGTTTTCTGCTCCAGGGAGGGGTTTAGAGAAATAGGATATTCTCTCTTCTAAGGAGGGGTATGGAGGAACAGGATGTTTTCTCTTCTAAGGAGGGGTGTAAAGAAGATGTTCTCTCTTTTAAGGAGGGATTTAGAGGAACCAAATGTTCTCTATTATAGGGATGGGTATATATCAACAGAATGTTCTCTGTTCTAGGGAGGGATGAAGCAAAACGTGATGTTCTCTCTTACAGGGGGGGTTTTTAGGAACAGTTTGTTCTCTCTTCCAGGGAGGGGTATTTAGGAACAGTATGTTCTCTTTTCAAGGGAGGGGCATTTAAGGAACAGAATGTTTTCTCTCCTAGGGAGGGGGTATAGAGGAACAGAATGTTTTCCCCTCCAGGGAGGGGTGTATATGAACAGAATGTTCTCTCTTTTAGGGAGGGGTATATATGAACAGAATGTTTTCTCTTCCAGGAAGGGTATAGAGGAACAGAATGTTCTCTCTTCCATGGAGGGATATGAAGGAAAAGAATGTACTCTCCACTAGGGATGGGCATGGAGGAACTTATATGCCAAGATGATAAAAGGGTCATATGTATATAATGGATGGTGATAAGTTTGGCCCCTGACTTTGTTATGTTAATAGTTACTCAGGGCATGTCTCTCAAAAGAAGTGCGTCATTAAAAAATATACTGTGTAAACATTAAATTTTACTACTCACAATTGTTTGCAGAGCAATTACTTGTTATTATTACATCTGTTCGATTGCATCTTGCTATGTAAACTCTTTAATGGGGGATGGGATGGGGGGGGGGGGGGGGGGGGGGCTTGTCTGAAGAAGAGGGTAACCAGTGGTTAAAAAAACTACTCAATGAGTAGTTCAGTTTCTTGAGTCTAACAAACGCATTAATTAAAGTAGTTGTACACAGATCGAGTTACCACCCTCTTTCTCTCATTCTCAACAGAAAATAATTAAACACCAAAAGAGTATTGCATTGAGACTTGGTAAACAGCATAATACTAGTTAAAACACTCTCATTCCTCTGAGGCATCGCTCAACACTAATAGGCACCCATGACTCATGTCTAGAGTCAAGACCCCCTCCCCCAATTTAGAATCTTGAACATAGCGCTTACTCATGCATAATAACTTAATTTCAGACATCTTGCCAAATAGTTAGTTTGGAGCCCTCCTTTAAACCTCTTTATCATTGTTAATTTTGGTTGTGATCAATTTCATTCTGTTTGTCTAGTTTACTGTTGGTTGACTTGTGGGCTGTAAGTCTGCAGGGAAATCTTGTTGCTGTAATGCTGCTTATCAGCATATCATCGCATATGACACATCAATTTCGATTGAAGCGTTTGAAATAACATTTGTGTTCACAAACGTGTAGATGCTCATAATATATACAAATTAATTTTTAGGAAGCGAGTAACAATCTAAAACAACCAAGTCATTTCATTAATTAACCCTCACCCTCACCTCCAATCCTGCCCCACCCCACCCACCCCACCCCACCCATCCCAGCTGTCTACAGTATTTATGACTTTGGACTCTGCATCTAAACCAGGAAGTACATTGAAGGAATCAAATTTTTTATGTTTCGGTGGCCTCGATTTTAAATGTCAGTTTACTTTATTTACGAGATGGTTGTTTGCTGACTGTCAACCCATTCTGGTTTTCTCCTGTAAAATAAAATAAAATAAAATCAATGAGGAGAGCCTTAGCCTCTTAGGATATAAGAAGGAAGCTTGTTTCATAGCAGTGCCTTATGGTATGTATTTAGGCTTTAGCTGATTCTCTTGTTTTCTCCTTTTTCTCCAGAAACGACACAAATCATTAGCGTGTGTGGAACTGTGGATATAGCAGGTTGACAACATTTCCATTCTTCTGCATCAAACAAGTACTATTTAGCTCAACAATTTTTTGCATAATATGATATCTCTGATTGTGTTTGTTTCTAATTGAATTTAGAAATCAATAATGTTCTACTTCTGAAGTTTTCATGTACTCATTTTATCAAAATGATTTTGAGTAATTTATTGACATTTATAAACTCATAAAGATTGATGAAATGAGGATGTATTTGAAAGATGCATTCAATAAATCACCAAATTACTCTTATGCTTTAATATTTTTCTCAAAAAACCAAGTCTTGGACTTATCTTGATCTTATAGATTACTATTTAATTATTTATTTATTAATTCATTGTTTTTGGGGTTTCCTTTCTCTCACAGGCAGCTCTACAGTTAGATGAACTAAAACGCAGTGCAAACCTTTTTCAAAACCATTCTGCATGAACTCAATAGCAGCATGGGTTGAGGGAATTTCTTCTTAAGACTATAGATATGATACATTCATATGACTCTGGATTCTGCAGTCAGATCTGAATGCAAAAATGCCTAACATCAATAACAACAATGCATTCGGGACACAGTCAAGAATCCAAAGCCCTTCAAGGCAGCGCGTTTCACGCAAGAAACAGAGGATCGGTCAAGGCTCTGGAGAACACTCTACAGCCAGCTTGACCAAGAGTCAAAGCAGCAAGGCCATTGCTAATACCTGGATGCACAATGAGTCGTTAGATGCTACCATCCCACTTCCAAAGCTGTCCTTCATCACCTCGGCATTCCTTGTTGCCGTATTAAGCATTGTGACTTACTGGAACAGTTGCCATGGGGATTTTGTCTTTGACGACCTGGAGGCGATTGTAAAGAACCAGGATGTGAAGCTGGAGACTCCGCTCTGGAACATCTTCCAGCATGACTTCTGGGGCCAAGCCATTGAGCTGAAGGAGAGCCATAAGTCCTACAGACCTCTGACTATTGTCACCTTTAGGTGAGTTCCTTGAAACTCTCTTCAGTGTTTTCTGTTAATTGCTTGTATCAGGTTGCCAAAGTATGCTGCATGTATTAATAATCCTATATTTGCTACAACTGTTGTATTACAATGTAAGCCTTGTCTTGAAATGTCCAAACAATACTCTTTTATGTATGATATTGATGATAATTAGAGATTCGATTTTATCAAAGGTGTAGCTTAAAATGATCTTTTAGTCAACTTTTTTGAATTGAATTGAATTTTTTGAATTGAATTTCTTTATTGTCATGCACAAAATAAAATGAAGGCATAAAAATCGTTTTACAGCTCACATTTGTATAAATATAACAATACATTAACATATCATAGACAGTAACTACAAATAACATGAATAACATAACAATGTAATGTAATTTAACCTTTCTGTTGAGAGCCAGAGGAATTATTTGATTATTTGTACTCCCCTGGCTCCCAACAGACAATATTAACTTAAATAAATAGCAGAAAATGTACATGACAACAATCAATGTCATATAACATATAAATATATCAAGTCACAGCAAAGATCTAAAAATCCATTATGCATCAATTGTTAAAAATTTCAGATAAAAACTGTTTATTTTGAGTAGCAGACATAAACTAAAAGTACATCATACTGGATGGCAAAGAGGAAAGACAAGAGAGAGAACGAGAGAGTGAGAAAGGAAGTGAGAAAGGGAGAGAGAAAGGGAAAGGGAAAGAGAGAGAGAGAGTAGAAGAGAGGAACGGTTCAGTGTGAGATGATGCATATACAGTTTCATTCAAAACATTGCTTTGTAATAGACATTATTTATATTGCACCTGTGCTTAGTACTGTTACATTTATGAAACACTGCTATGCATGCCAACAAATACAAATACAACTGTATGCTAGTACATGTACAGTACATATAGATGGTAGATACACTGTACAGTTGAAAGAAGAAAATTGATGCCAGATAGAAGAGGCTAGAAGAGAGACAAGAAAGAAAGAAGAAGAAGAAGAAAGAAAAGTGGAGAAAAGGAAAGAGAGGGAAGAAAGGAAAAGGAGGAAAAGTGAAGTGTGAGATATTGAAAATATTGTTGAAATAAATTGAACTGAATTGATGAGTCCACATGTCACTTACACACTATCAACCACCCAACCATAACAGCAGGGAAGACCCCCTCCCCCTTGACCTTATACAAGCTGACCCATCTTCACCCCCTGTACTTCCAGGATATGAAGAGAGAGAGAGAGAGAGAGAGACAGGCAGACAGAAAGAGAGAGAGAGAGAGAGGGAGAGATATATGTAGGATAGAGAGAGAGAGAGAGAGCAGAAGACAGAGGAGAGAGAGAGGGAGAGATAGAATGAGAGGGTAGGGGATCGTACTCGGGGGTTTACAGGGTCATTCATCTACAGAAATTGTTGTTAAACACTTTCATTGCACTTGGGAGAAAGGACCTGCCGAACCTATCAGTTCTTATTCTTGGTAACCTAATTCTTCCTGATCTATTGAAAACCACTTCATTATGCAGAGGGTGATTAGAATCCTTCACAATCACTTGCAGCTTAGCCAATAATGCCCTTTCTGCAACAACTGCCCAAATACTTTCAGAATATATAGCCATAGCTTCAAAGCTCCCAAATTTAATTTCTTATACTCATAGGATCGATGACCAAGTGTTTTAAAATGATTGATTACAGTTTGTTTTGAGCGAAGAGCTATGAAGTTTTGGAAGCTTTGAAAGAGGTATCTCTGTGAAAGAAATATGAATACATGTAGAGATCCCTTCAAGAGAGCTCACTTAATTTACCCCAGAACTTTACTTAGCAAGTTCCCAAAATAGTTTTTATAAATTAAATGTTCTTTGGAATCTATGTGCGGGTATACTCAGAACTTTCATGAAGGGAATGAGTTTCTCTGCTAGTTGTTGTTTCGTATATCCAGAACTATACCGCCCATTTTGTCCATTTACAGATGAAGAAGATTATATTTTTAACCCTGAAGTTTCCCATATCATTTCCCTTTCATCTTTTCTTTACATCTTGATAGGACCAACTACTTTGCTGGAGGCCTACATCCATGGGGCTTCCATCTAGTGAACATACTCCTCCATGCCACAGTGAGTGTGTTGGTACTACCTGTGTCCTCAGCACTTCTCACAGTAGTGACAGATGTTGGGAAAGGGGGTGATGAGGGGTTCCTGGAATGTCCAAGAGCCAGCCTCTTGTGTGCAATACTCTTTGCTGTCCATCCGATTCATACTGAAAATGTGAGTATTTCTGTTATTTTATTGTTTTCTGCTATGTAATTGCCTATAAGAAGGCGATTGCTGTTGACTGTACTAGATACCAGTAGAAGATTCAAGTTACAAAAAGCCAGTCAAACAAGTAAAGCATTCTTTTTACAAAGAGTTTGACCTGACATAGATACTACTGCTACAAATGATGATGATGATGATGATCTAATTGTATAATAATCATGATAATAATAACATTTACGTAGCACTTAATTTTTATGCCTCCGCCACCGAAGGTGGTGCCGGAGGCATCATGTTTTCGGGTTGTCCGTCCGTACGTCCGTACGTCCGTCCCGTTTGACCGTTATCACAATATCTCAAGAACCATTTAAGATTTAAACTTAAGACTCGGGAATAGTATTTATCACCATAGGAAGACGATCTGATTAGATTTTGGAGTACGTAGGTCAAAGGTCACAGGTCACAGAGGTCAACTTATGAAATTCCTTGTATTGAGTTTGTTAGCACGATATCTCAAGAACCATTTGAGATTTAAACTTCAAACTTAAGGATAGTATGTATCACCATAGGAAGACGATCTGATTAGATTTTGGAGCACGTATATCAAAGGTCAAGGGTCACAGAGGTCAACTTATGAAATTCCATACATTGAGATTGTTATCATGATATCTCAAGAACCACTGGAGATTTAAACTTCAAACTTAGTGATAGTGTGTATCACTATAGGAAAACAATCTGATTACATTTTGGAGCACGTAGGTCAAAGGTCAAGGGTCACAGAGGTCAACTTATGAAATTCCATACATTGAGATTGTTATCATGATATCTCAAGAACCACTGGAGATGTAAAAACTTCAAACTTAAGGATAGTATGTATCACCATAGGAAGACGATCTGATTAGATTTTGGAGCACGTAGGTCAAAGGTCAAGGGTCACAGAGGTCAACTTATGAAATTCCATACATTGAGATTGTTATCATAATATCTCAAGAACCACTGGAGATTTAAACTTCAAACTTAATGATAGTGTGTATCACCATAGGAAGACAATCTGATTAGATTTTGGAGCACGTAGGTCAAAGGTCAAGGGTCACAGAGGTCAACTTATGAAATTCCATACATTGAGATCGTTATCGCGATATCTCAAGAACCACTGGAGAATTTTCACTTCAAACTTAATGATAGTATGTATCACCATATCATAATATCTCAAGAACCACTGGAGATTTAAACTTCAAACTTAATGATAGTGTGTATCACCATAGGAAGACAATCTGATTAGATTTTGGAGCACGTAGGTCAAAGGTCAAGGGTCACAGAGGTCAACTTATGAAATTCCATACATTGAGATTGTTATCATGATATCTCAAGAACCACTGGAGATTTAAACTCCAAACTTGTTTAAATTGCTCTATGGCGGAGGCATCATGTTCGACTGCGCGCAGTCAAAATTCCATCTAGTTATACATGTATTTCTAAGCGGTGTACTGTTCAGAATATCAAATGGGAATTTAAGAGGGTTCTGATTTAGGGTGAGGGTGCGGGGGTTGTCCAGGCATCTTCTTTTCTTGTCCTCCACTTTTCTGTTTGCGTTTCTCTCTTCTCTCTCTCTCTCTCTCTCTTTCTCTCTCACTTTTTAAGAATAAATAGATTGTTTTATAGCTATCAATTTGAGGGGGGGGCATCAATATTATCAATAAATGTACAATTACTTTAAACTAATAACATTTATTAGGTACCATTTGGCATCTTTTAGAATGTACCCTATAATATATGATGATAAGACTATCAAAATCATATCAAAGTTGATTTGAATTGTTATGGGTTTTCCCCTTTCTTATCATTTTCCTATTTAAACATGTTGTGCATGTTTGAAGGGCCTGTGTTCTCAACATATGGGATTTATAGATCCAAAGTCTATAAAAAAAAATGAGTAGTGCTGGACTGTTAATATTTTTAATTTACTTCCTGCCTGTATTTCATCAACCAACTTTTAAAGGGGAAGTCCCATGTGATAAGTGATACTGGTTTGGTTTTAATTGAAGCAGAAAAATGAGAGGAACAGGTCAGTTAAAGTTTGAACAAAATCCAATAAAATATAAGACAGTTCTGAATTTTTGAAAATGCGATCAGTAAAATACAATTTAAACTGAGCATCACCAAATATACTATTGTTATCCTGTTTTATTACAAATATGGGGGTCTGTGGTGATCTTTGTTGGTATCGCTCATAATACAAGTGCCCTGACAATATGCCCTTTCAAAAGCAGTCGATCACAATGAAAAGCAAATAAAGCCCTGGCTGGCAAACAGAATCTGCTGATTGTATGATGAGATTCGGTCCACTGGCTTTGGAGGGGCCTGGTAATAAAAACATCATAATGCAAATCTTTTACAAAGAATCAATGACTGTTTATTAATCATCTATTGAGAACGTTTTGTAACCTCTGCAAAATGTGCATTAAAGCATATAACAAACTTAATTTTGTTTTGGGATTTGCACTTCGACCTCCCTGTAAAAATTATACAAGACACAACAAAGCTCAGTGTTTTTGAATTATGATAACAAATATACAATGTAAGAGAATTCCATGATAATTGAGAGATATGTTATTTGTCTTGATTAATAGAAATGGAAACAATTTGTGTTTGTAATTTTCTGTAATATTGTTCTTTGTTTGTACTCATTGTAATTTTATTTAAACTGTACTGTATTTGGAATTGACCATGCCTGGCTTCTTTTGAAAAAGGTGATTTATAAATGAAAGGTATTACAGTCAAACCTGCTTAAGCGACAACCTGTATACAGGGCAATTCCACGGTAACGGAAGGACACTCAGACAAGATTTTTGAACTTCAGGTTCATACTAAAAGAACTGATTTATTAGTATAAGATGTGAAACAGTACAGATATAATACCTATATAAGTGCCTTTAATTCTCCCAAAAAAAATTGTCATTATAGTTAAGTAGTTTAAGAATGTGCATATTAATTATCTCGGTAACGGAAGGACATAAAAATGGACATGGTTTTTCCAGTTAATTAGTGTTTATCCAAACTTTGTGAAGTTGATGAAGCTTTCCACTTGACTGAAACACATTTTGTTCCCCATAGTTTAATACATACTAATAAAACATTTCTTTTAGTATGAACCTGAAGTTCAAAAATCTTGTCTGAGTGTCCTTCCGTTACCGTGGAATTGCCCTACATTTTTCTTTTCCCTTGAATATGATTTCCCATTGAAGCCTGTACTAAAGGAACCTGTACATGAAGACCACCTACCAATAAAAACCACTTTTTATGTTTCCCTTGAGTGGTCTTGATATACAGGTTTCACTGTATTAAATGTTTTGACACTTTTCTTTGTTTTTATTCTTGTCATTATTGGAATAGGTTGCTGGTATTGTTGGACGAGCAGATCTTTTATGTGCCTTGTTCTTCTTCATGTCTTTCCTCTTGTATACCACTGTTTGCAAAAGTGGTAAGTACAAGTGAACTAATTCACTAAGAAATAACAATAACAGTAACAGTAATAACAACAACAACAATTTAACATCAATAACAATAACAATACCAATGCATACCAATACCAATTCCATTACCAGTAAAAAAAAATACCAATACCGATAATAATAACAACAACAACAACAACAATAATTCCAATAATAATAACAATAACAATAAAAATAGCAATAATTTTTTTAATTGGAATGATCTGAAGCAATGGAAGAAAATACAACACTTTAGACAGTCTATGATCTTGCTTTAGATTTGACACAACTGTATGTGCTACAGAAATGTAATATAATTAGCATTCTATTATTGTTGTATTATTTCATTTCTAAGAGTGATTCTTTATAAAATTAATGTTTTTATGGCTCTCAGCAGACTTTAATTCGGGCCCTGTTAAAAAAACTCATAAACCTTGTTACCAATAACAAATGTTCAATTTCTAAAGTTGCTCTCGACAATCAAATTCCAGGAATTAAATAGCTTATAACTGTTAATGTAACTTGTTATATTGATAGCAAGTTTTATGAAGCAGGGCCCTGATCTTTCCAATCATGTGAATGACAAAAGGCAATGTCATTTTCTTTTTTCAGATTCATCTTGCCTCGATTCAACTCCTCTGTATTCATATCTTTGTCTTGTACTGAGCATGGTATTATGTGCCGTGGCCATGCTCTGCAAAGAACAAGGCATAACAGTTATAGTAAGTAATCCTTATCAAGAATACTACATAAACAATTGTAAGTTATATATATGTGCATCTATGGTGTACTGTCTGCTAGGCATGCTGCCTTTCAAAAGGTTTTGCAATGTAATACACATACCCCTTATGGAAAGTACAACATGAAGTACAATTTGTAGCTACTTACGCCCTCTATACAGCCAACAATGCCTAAGCGGCCGGTACCCGTTGATCCCCCATGGTCCCCTTTTTCTTATGTTAATTGAGAGCTGATTTGATGAGATAACCACCTGCCAGTGACCACGCAGGTCTAATCCCTCCTAGCCAAACTAGTGCAGATAGGTTTTAAATCTAACATGTATAGAGATTTCACAAATTCTGATCTGAAGAAATATTCAAGCCTCAAATTATTAACTTTTTAGCAATATCTGACTTTTTTCATACATGTGTGTATATGTATTACCTTGTTTTAAAAGGGTTCAATTATATTATATTCAACAATAGTTTTTGCAGCATATTCCAGATCATCATTTTTTTTTTATCCCAGGGTATCTGTAGTGTGTATGACATCATCATCAACTGTGGGATAGACCCAATCCCAGCATTCTCTACCATCTACACAACTCTGAAGTGCCATCATGTGTTGCCGTCCATACAGCTTGCTGTCCATTCTCCAGAACTAAGATGGCTCAGGAGATTATTACTCAGACACCTTGTTCTTTTCATCTCTGCTATTATACTCCTACTCACAAGGTAATATTAATAATAATAGCTCACGTTTATAATGCGCCTAATACTTGTTTCAAGGCGCAGTACGTATTATTACCCTGGTCATCGGATTCACGCTGACACGCACACAATGTATGCACATTCTCCGCTCTGAGGAGCATTCCGGCCAGTCACCATTTTACAAGCGCTACTTGCTCATCTGACCACATCAACTTTCGCATCCTACCGGGTACCCATTAAACACCTTGGTGGAGAGTGGCAATTGTAGATTAACGTCTTGTCAAAGGATATTAGAGCTGTGTCGGGGATCGAACCTCGACCTTCGAATATCAAGTCAAGTGCTTAAACCACTTGACCATGACACTTTATTTGGTTCTTGTGCACAAAATGTTTGGCACTTTAATTCATTATGTAAATGTAACCCTGGCATTGTTTTGTTTGTTTTACCTGACTGCTAAGAAAGCATGTGTATGCTTGAAATTATGCAACCAGGGGAACAAAGGCTTTAAGTCCTCTCCGAGAGACCTGGTAATGAGAATTAATGCTTTACCAAAGGGCGCTAGCGCTTCGAACTGATTTCGAACCATTATCTCTCAGTTACAAGATTGCTACAAGCCATTGCGCCATAGTGGCATTAGTTAGGCTGCTGTTACTTTTGCTCACAGCATACATAGGTAGAGAGTTTAGAAAGATGCTTTGACAAAGGGCATAATTGCTGGACATGGCTTTATAACAAGCCCATCCTTTTGATAGATTTTTCATAAATGAAGCATCCACATTTCTATCCTTCATTTTCAGGGGCGTATCCGACATATGTACATATTATGTACCCCCCCCCCCTCCTCCAGGCCCATTTAACAATTAATACCGATTGCAGTTTGTTTTTGTCATATATGGATGCTCAGGTGCATTCTGCATCCACCTCTTTTTCAGGAGGGGATTTTTATGAAGTTTGGGTTTCGCCACTGACTTTCTTATTTTAAGTAAAAGAAGCCCACCTTATATTTTCCTTAGCATTTGATTTTGTTCTTCAATCTGTTTATTTGATTTGATTCTTCACTTTTGATTCTACATTTGTTTTGTTTTGATTTTGTTTTCTTTTGTTTTCTTTCATTTGTTTCTTTTTGTTTTCTTTCATTTGTTTCTTTTTGTTTGAGTAGATTTTTCATCATGGGTAGTGGGGTTCCATCCTTTCAAGAAGTTGACAATCCTGCATCATTTCTTGATAATGTCTGGATGAGGGTAAGACGTTATCCCTTAATAATAGCCTTTGTCTTTTATATTGCTGTGCCATTTCCCTTATCAATCAGGGAATGTGTCATCCACCATTAAAACTATTCTTTATTTCAATACAAATGCATAAAAAACTGAGCCTGAGAGTATGTGGTTTCATACTATATGTCGAATAGCATATATACAGTGCTATAACATAAATCTACAGTATACACAGGTTAAATTGTGCTTTTCAATTTAAAGTTATTCTGTTGATAAGTTCACCCCCCAAAAAAAATATAGTGTATCTGGATAAAGTCACTTTTATTCTGTTTTCTTTACGTATTATCAATTTGAAGAAAAAAAGAATGTTCTCCATGTCATTGTGACTTTATTTTGTTTTAAGGGATTCATCTCCCATTCTGAAACATCCCCTTTTCTGCATTTGTGTTTGAAGTGTGCATGAAAATGGAAAGGACTTCTCATTAAAGGGAGTGGGTCATCAGTTTCCATGTACGCAGGCCATATTTCACTGACACCAGATTTGGTGGAATTACCATTAATGTGTGTACAAGTCTGCACATAGCAAACCTGTAGGCCTGAGAGAAAAGCGAGATAACAACTTTACCATATGGGGCAATGCAAGGCATTACATAAGGCCTGTTGGTCATAAAACCTAATGGTTAATCCGTTTCACAAAGCCTTTTTTCAATGACAAATATATAAAATCAGTGAAAAATCTGCTGATAATCAATCGGAAGCAAAGATTTCACTAGCTTATAACAAAAATTGTCATTTTGTCACTGATGACAATTTTTGTGAAATGGGTCCCAGGATTAGCCCTGGTGTTTGACGACACCTGTTATTGGGGAAACACTGGAATTTCCCATGAGGGCCCACTCCTATACTATTTCATCTTACATGAATATTAATATCTTGTTTGTTACAGATGATTAACTACAGCTACGTCTACTCCTTGAATGCCTGGCTCCTGCTCAACCCCTGGTGGTTGTGTTTTGATTGGTCAATGGGTTGTGTCCCCGTCATCCAAACACCCCTTGATCCCAGAGTGGTTGCTCCCATTGTCTTCTGGATCATAATGGGTGTCATTGTCTTCTATTGCCTATTTGGATCAGACCATTATGAGAAAAGGTGAGATAAAGGTGGGATCTGTGCCCCATTTCATAAAACCTTTTATCAATAATAAATGCTAATTTTCTATAACAAATTTGCTCTCGGCCTATCAAATGCCATAATTTCAGTAGCTTATAACAGTTATTGTAACTTGTTATTGATAACAATTTGTATGAAACAGGGCCTAGTTTCTATAAACATATTGGTTTCTTAATGCGATGACTAGTAGGCAGCCCTAGAATATTGTAAAATTCATGTAACTGTCGTCTATATGCGTATTGACAAGATCCTTTTGGGAGAAGATATCAATTAAGTCTATAACAACCCAAACAAGAACAGAAAACATCTCATCATTTATTGTTTACAAATCAAGCACCATCTTAATTCACATTGTATTAATTATGAGTGGAGAGCATTTGAGCTCTGGAAAGTTTCTAAAGAACTCTTGTTACAGATAATTAAATTATTAACAAAAAATATTATAATTATCACTTTTGCAAGAGTGAATCCAAAAAGGAGCTCTGATTAATATTTTTGTCATTGATTTTAGTCTAACCATTTTCACACTGACAGATTTTGCTGCAAAGATGAAAGCACATAGGTACTTTTTAAGTTTCAGATCTAGAGATATGAATATTGAAACAGAATGTGATAAGAAGATCCCTTTATCTTATCCTTCCCAGACTTCTGACTGTTTCCATTTCTGTGGTGATCATCCCTTTCCTCCCAGCATCCAACTTCTTCTTCAGGGTTGGGTTTGTGATTGCTGAACGGGTCCTCTACTTACCAAGTCTGGGATTCTGTTTACTGGTCGTCATGGGAACCAGACATCTGTGTCTCAATGGGACCTCTATCATGAAGAGAGTAAGATAATGATGGAACGCGATGAAGATTTGTCATTTATGTGAATTCCGACTTGTGAAATGTGAAACAAATAAATAAACTTGAAAGTATTTTAAAATAAAGAGATGAAACAAAAGTTCAGTCCTAATTTATGTGTTATGAAAATGTGTTAATTTATGTATAGTATTACAATATAGATATGTCATAAACTTTAAAGGGAATGTAGCATGACGAGACTACATGTCGTTTCCGTGGCCTGACTCGGGGCCAATCAGGTATAATACGACGCGACCGCAGTATTCAAGTGCGTGCAACATACGTGAAACCAAAGCGTGAAGAGAACTCCGGTCTGTTTCAATCAATGCCATTTGTTTACGTGCAGCTATCCAAAAGAAGTATTAGATGGCGTTAACCAGTATTTGCCATGCTACACCCCCTTTAATATAGCCTTTCATCATATTTTCATTTTCTCAGGCCTTGCAGGTTCTCCTCCTTGTTGTTGTTGTCTGTCACATGACTCGCTGTTACCATAGAAACAGTGAATGGTCAACTGAGAGAAGGCTGTACCGATCTGGGCTAAAAGTATGTCCAGGAAACGCTAAGGTGAGATGACAAGAATGAAATAGTACTTTCACATTTTGAATGTGTTTACTGTAGGCGATCACTTCCAGATATCGATACCTCAGTCACACTGCCAATGACTCCAAACTGAGCCCAAATTGACTGATCTTTGACTGCTATAAGATTGTAATGAAAAAAATTGTTCAGTTTGTTGTCGATCCGGTGTCTGTCTCCTCTGTATGATTTGGGTATAAACAATTACAATTTTACCGGTACTCTCAAACAAAAGAGCTTTACATATTATAAACTCTGTATTGATTAGTGCTCTATCTATATTCGTGCATAGATAGGACAGCATTAATAAACAAGTAATCCATAATATGGTATGTATTTAATTTTTTTTCATTTTCCTCTGTATCTATAACATAAGTTTTTACAGGGCCTCTCAGGAAAAAATTGATACAGCGAGAGTGAACCTGTTTAGATCAAATGAATACAAATTAATTTTTTTTTGCAGGTTCACTATAACATTGGCAAGAGTGCAGCCGATGCAGGTCATACACAAGAAGCTATAGATGCATACAGAGAGGCTATTAGGTATGATTTGAACATTTTGATATACTCCTAATTTCTTGTCAGCTAATTTTTAAACCTTCTTTCTATGATATGGCTACATAATTATGTACCTGAACAATAAAAGTTATCTGCCATTTAGTTTTGGTAGCAGATATGCAATAGTTTGGGAAATGAGCAAAAATAGAAAAAGATAAGGAAATAGAACTAGAAGTTCCAAGCCATGAACATAACGTGCAGGCTTGTGCAAGTATGTGGATGTGTGGATATGTTTTGTTGGTCCTCTCATGATGTTTGGTAATTTTGGTCACTTTTAGCCAGGGGTAATTTTTCCAGTGTTATTAACAGAAAGTAGATTTGATGAGCCTATTCTATGTAAAAAAAAAAAATGTGCCCTGATGCTAGAAAAAGGGGTCAAGTTGACCCTCATTAACAATAATATGGTCATTTCAGTCATTTTTTTACCAGAAAATGACAATATCTATTGATTTTTGTCTGAAATCAGGCCAACTCTTCAGTCAGAATAAATTGATGGTTGGATTTTGACATCCAAATTCAGTATAAAACTGTGAGCTGATCAATATCAGAACAATCAATCTCATTGAAATGCGATGTCATTATCTCACCTCAGTACATGATTATTTTTTTTCTTCAAAGGTTGCATCCTGATTATGACCAGGCCTTGAATAATCTAGGTAACATCTTAAGAGACTTGAATCAGACACAGGAGGCAGAGATGCTCATCTCGAAAGCTGTTAAAATCAGGTATATTTTATATTCATTGTACCAATACACATGGAAGGATGTTTATTATAAGGTATATGCTGGTCAAATATTTAAAACGGATAATCCATGAAATAGCATGTATGTAATAAGCTTTGTTCAATTTTCTCCGTATTTGTAACTTAGAATTTGTACATGGTCTCTCAGGATAACAGACCTAATACTATTAGAGTTACCATGGTTATATAAAACAAATAAGTAAATTACTTAAAACAAAAAAAGATGCTAATACTTAATGCAGTTACCATCAACCACACTTTTGTGTAATAATTGCATGCCTGAACATCATGAAGTTCAACAATTTTAAAACTTGAAAACAGTTACCAGAGCTGGTTCAACAAACCATTTCTTCAAAATATTAAACCATTCAGTCCTGTAAAGGGTGCTATTAGGTGTAGATAGAAAAAAATATAGTATAGTAAATAGAGTATTATCACAAAATGCTTTTTAGTGGGGTTTAAATGGTTGCTTTAGGAAATGTTCATTTTTTTTAAAGATTCAGATTCACCTAAAGAATTCCAGGGTGTGGAGCACCAAAGCTAGCATTTCCAGGTGAACTCCTGTATTGTTTTTTCTTGTGATTAACTTTTTAAAAAAACTTTGGAAATAATACTTCCCCCTCTTGACTCTCTATGACCTTTCTTGACCCCATACCGACCTTTGCAGCAGCCTGGATGAACCTTGGCATCGTCCAAGCAACCTTGCAGAAGCACGAGGAAGCAGTGGTCAGCTACCTGACGGGCTCCAAACATTGTTTCTTTATCTTGTGATTAACGCTGTCTTGAACTTCCAAATACTAATATTGCCCCCTCTTGACTCTCTATGACCTTTCTTGACCCCAGACCGACCTTTACAGCAGCCTGGATGAACCTTGGCATCGTCCAGGCCACCTTGCAGAAGCACCAGGAAGCTGAGGTCAGCTATCTGACGGCACTTAAACATTGTATCTTTATCTTGTGATTAACGCTGTCTTGAAATTCCAAATACTAATATTGCCCCCTCTTGACTCTCTATGACCTTTCTTGACCCCAGACCGACCTTTGCAGCAGCCTGGATGAACCTTGGCATCGTCCAGGCAACCCTGAAGAAGCACCGGGAAGCAGAGGTCAGCTACCTGACGGCTCTCAAACATCGTAAAAATTATCCAGATTGCTTCTTCAACTTAGGAAACCTGGTAAGAATATATTGTTTGCTGCCCTCTAGAAGGCCGTCACTGCCATGGCATTTACATTACATTACATAGTTAATAATAAAAGTTAATATGTCTTGTTTACCCAGGTATTAAGTATTAATAAGTATTAATTCTGTTTATCCTGAGGGCCCTACAATCGTATTATTATTATTATTGGTATTGTTATTGTTATTGTTAGAGCACAAAGGAGTGACAACCCATCAGTCCTGTGATAACAGTTTTTTTCTGCATTTTGCTTTATTAGGGGTGAGGGTTGGATATAGATATGATCTAGCCCCTATTACAGCATCTGATATTGAAACAATCCTGATATCATAAGGCCAGTGGTCTTGTAATCCATTTGAAATATTTTAATGTATTTTAACAAATATTGCTATTAATATTAACCTGTTGTCTACTGAATTCTATCATTCCCATAGACTTAATACTATTGGCAATGGGTTAAAATAATCGGAAAATCAAATGCTCACTTAACCCTATATAGCCCGGGCTATTTTGAAACTGCGTTACTGATCTCGGCCGCTGAAATGACCGATCGCAGCAAAAATTTGCATACATGTCAAGTGAAGTGTATAAAATACTATGGTAATTTCAATTTTTTGAAAAATTCACTCATTTGCATATTTATGGTAATTTATGCCAATAAGGTCATAAAATTCACATTTTTGCCCATAAATCAAACATTATTCATATTTAAGCGTTCTTTTTCACTACATATATTTGTTAGACCTTTTGGAATAATAATATAACACAAAAAATTGAAAAACCAGGGTTATTCCTTATGTTATCTATTGTTTTGATAATTTCTTATGTATTTCTCTGTTTTTTTTAACTTATGTATTTTATTCTTTTAATTGTTTTATTTCATTTCCAACTACTATAATTCAACTATTTTGACCCCAAAATAAACACCTAAACTATAAACAAGACCAAATAACCAATGTTTTATCTCTTTATTTGAAAAATGAGATTTCCATATGTTTTGTACACAAATCACAAAAATGAGCGATTTGACATGCAAAATCAAAAGGACACGTGACTTTGTAATGGTAGGTCTGATTTTCGAAAAATTTCTTTCAAAAGACGCGCAAGACTCGAAAGAAAAAAGTCACAAAATTTCAGTGTACGATTTTCTTGCGTTAAAAAATTATCGTGAAAAATGTCAAGGGGGGAAAGCCCCCCCCCCCCCCTCCCTCCGGGCTAGATAGGGTTAAGATGGATCTTCATTTTGGGTTGTGACCAAATCATCAGCCTATTGTTAACTGATTGATTCCTGATGAATCCATGTTTGTTGCAATATATCTTGTTAATAGCCTGATTTTTAAAGATACTGTTCAGGTATTATTCAATATCTTAAACTATTCTATCTTCTTTCTTCTCAATAGATTGTTGTTAATAAATGTACATGTATTTTGTCCACTGATCTCTGTTCATACTTATTGGCTGCCATAACAATTGAAATAACTTATGAGTTCAATGACTTTTAAATTTTATTATCGTGTTTTTATACAGTGAATATATTACTCTAAGCAATAATATGCATGATAAATTAATCAATATTGCTCACTAAAACTGCTTTTATTGCTGCTGAAAAGAAGAAGAAACCTAGCTCTGTGATAATAAACTTGTTGTCTTTTAATTGAAATGGAATTTTATCATGTTAAAAGATTTGACTTCGTAAATACAGTCTGTATTGTGAGAATTACAAGGATGTTGCACCTGATATGCACCCAAATCAGCATTGATGTATATTGGTTTAAAGACTAATATTAGAGCCAGTGGTATTGTGGGCCTGTGTAATAAGAGTATAGGAGGGATATTGTGTGCTGATAATGGTTTAATTTGTTTATTTATTTACTTTTCATAAAAATACAATCAAAGCAAAACAAAGTTTCACTTAAGTTACAATTTATGCAAAACAAAAAAAGGAGAATGAAAAAAAGTCTATGATGGCTTTATGAGACAATTTCCCACCAAAATATACAATTGATTGTTATGGAACATAGGTTATACATCACAAGGATACTAACAAATGCAACAAGAATTTGCGTTGATTAATCGAGGCTGCATGAAAAAGTCTTAATAGACTAGTGAAGATCTCTCAGTTTCAATGCTTCTCTTTAGTGGTCTTTGTATACAGGTTTCTCTGTATATTGTCTGTTTGGAAAATGATACAGGTTAACAGTTAAGCCTTAATTTCAATCGATCTCCAAACAGACAATATGATGATACAGTCAAACCTGTCTGAGTGGCCACCTCTCTATAAAGGCCACCTGTCTATAGTGGCCATGTATTTTGTCTCCCTAAAGATAGAAATGTATGTTGGAGAACCTGTCTAGAAAGGCCACCTGTCTACAGTGGACTCCTTTTCTGTTTCCCTTATGTGGCCTTAGTAGAAAGGTTTGACTGTACTATTAAACCGCAGAGAATAACAAGTAACACAAAAATAATAATGATGATAAATGCATGAATGCACTATTCACAGTACTTAGTACTAGGAAACACAGACCAGGCACTGTCTGCATGGCTGAATGCTACGTCACTGCTTAACACTCACGCTGAAGCCTGGAGTAATACCCTACTACTGCTTGATAACTTAGGTGAGAATTAATAGCAGAACTTCAGAAGTCTACAACATTTTATGTGTTTCTGTTCATATAGAGGGATAATATTTACTGAATTTGCTGTCGAACTGCAGTTAAAAAAGCTATTCCACTTTTGGGGGCCATTTGTTGTTGATAGTAAAATTTCAGAAGTCTATAACATCTTTTTTTCAGGGCAAGTCCAAGGTATTCAGTAACTATTACCCCCCCCCCCCCCCCCAAAAAAAAAAAAAAAAAAAATCAACAACAAACAAACAAAATCAAAATAGAACAAAAATTTACATATGATATGTCCTATTTTGTTTTATTATTTAGTCATATTCAAACTTTGGTAGGGCTTTCAGGTCAATAGAATCATTTGGTATACTAAAAATACTAAAACTTAAGATGAAGTTAGTAATATATGGGACAGAATATTGTGGATTTGCCCTCCTGTGTTTCCATGTATTGTGAGGGATAAGTCTACTGACTTTGCTGTTTTAACTACAGTTCTTAAAGCTATTCCACTTTCTGCCATTTGCTGCTCACTTTTTTCTATGCAACCTCAATCTCTTCATCTCTGTTTATGAACTACATGTATCGTCTGTTTGGAGCAAGAAGGTCGTCAACTAGTATATACTTTAACTCAGAGTTAATTCCCTTCTGACTCTGAACAGACGATATCTCTTTTTTTTTCCCAGTACATATATCATCTTGACATGATAATGACATCATCAGCTTTCTTCTCTTAACAAATGCACTCCTTGATCACTTTATAGCATTAATCATTCATATTTCTACCTTTTTAACCAAAACTTTGTTATGTGATATCTCCCTTCTTGCTCCTTCTGACAAAATATTTTTGAAGTCATGTGTGGTGCATGCATTGGGAATGCATGTGTGCATTACTCTATCACCTAAATATAACTTCTCTTTCCAGTATTTATTCCTACAAATCTACATGGATCTGCATGCCCCTCATAGTTAGTAAGCAGAGTGTGAGTAACATCATTGTTTTATTTAATTGTATTGACTCCCCCCCCCCCCCCCCCCCACATTTTTGTTATTTTTTTCAACCTTTTAATGTGGGAAAACTTTTAAAGACAATAGTAATAGATGTGGGCAGATAATGAGTGAACAAATGGGGGTTGGAAGTCTGGGCAAATATAAAGAAAATGAGACAGAGAGAGAGTGAGGGAGAGAGAAAGAGAAAGAAAAAATGGGAGAGAGAGAGCGAGAAAGAAAAAGAAAGAGAGAGAGAGAAACAGACAGAGCCGGACTGAGAGAGTGAAAATGAAGAGAGGGAGAGAGATGGAGAGAAAGAGATGGATATATATATGCGAGGGGGGGGGGGGGCAAAATAAAGTCAGGTAGTTAGATCTTCTTATAAGGGAAAAAATACAGCGCAATGTATAGTACTCATTGACTTATCTACCTCATCCTTCAACGGCCTGCATGGAGCATGATATTAATGAAGAGACATAGATTTAAGATATATTGACATTTTAGAAAAGAATTGATGTGATTGCATTCCTAAACTAATGCAAAAACTTGGACGATAAGATAATCTTGAGCATGATGAGCATGAAAAAAAATGCATGCTATTTTGATTATACTGGGTGAAAGAAATGATTTCAGGCTGCTACATGAAAAATGTCATTGTAATTGTTTATTTGGGCTTTGAAGTTTTTGGTGCTATAATTCTATTTAAATGTTGATATAGTATTTCTAAAACCATGGTCGGTGTTATGGTATTATGTGAATTTAATATAGTGCAAGTTGTTTAAAAACTAGGGAATATGAAAAGGTGTTTTCCTTACAATCGTCAGAGAAATGAATAATGAGGAAAAAAAGAAATTTCAAAACGACATAGCAAAACGCTCCTGTACGGTTTGAATTTGAATTTAATGATCAATTTGAGTAAGATTTTGGTTATGTCAATTCACCAAAAGCCATTTTACAGCTTGTATCTGTTTGACAAGCTTGTTTATAGTTATAGTTCCACAATGCTAGCCCAAGTGAACAACTTGCTTTTCCCAGGATAGCTACATATACAGTTAAAAACTGAATTATTCTTACCCTTGCCAATTTTTATAATTTTTTAAGTAGATGAAAAATTGAATCGCCCGATTTATACTCTTGATAATGTATCATATTAAAGTTTACATCTAAAAGTATTCAGCAATGGCCCTAACTCCACTAATCCACCTTTAGTCTTTACTTCATGAGATATGAAAAACACAAAGGACATCAAATTTACAAGGGGCATGAATAACTTAGTTGTTATCTGTATATACATTTCTGTAGCAGACTGACTTAGGGACTTTTAGATTTGCACGTCGACATATGGACTGCTACGTGTAACGTCCTTTTAAGGCTCTGCCATGCAGTGCCTTAAAAGGAGGTCACACTTAGCAGTCCACTATGTCGACATGCAAATTTAAAAGTCTCTATTGTTAAATTAAACTGGTAATGATCATGTTATGACTGCAGTATTTGGATACAAAGCAGTGGACGCTAGCAGTACAGGGTTGGGAAAGTGCTATAACTCAGAAGCCTGATCATTCTCGTGCGTGGTTCAACATAGTAACATTGTATGATGACTTGGGTAAGAGAACAAAACATGTGTGATTCTTCGGAGTGAGAGTAATACATCGAGGGGTCAGTGACACAAAGATGGCCATTTTGAGAAAAAGTAGTTTATATGTCACTGAGCACTTGGGCCTTAATTAAGGAGTTAAGTCTATTATATGTTTCACTAGCCATTGACTTCAATGGGGTGTTGGGTGGAGTGTCTATATGTGTTTCCTGGAAAGCCCACATTTTTCTGAACATTTTGGCAAAATATTGAGTTACGTTTTTGAGTCACTGAACCCTAGACATGTAGTTGTTCAAATGACGTACATGTATCATGTATGAATACTGGTAGTAATTGTGCTGTAGATCAAGTGCAAATTTCAACTGTTCACTCTCTCCAAATATATTGCTTTTTCTTTTTCACGTTGGTATTTCAAGGTTTCCTCTTTTCATCTCATATTTCTGATTTATTCACTAGCTGAAAATATATATGTAACAATCTCTTTTTTTTTAAACTGCATACTACACTAAGTACACTCTAATGACACCAAGTTTGGTTTGCAATTTATATTATTGATCTCATTTTATTTGATGTATTTTATTGGTAAAAACAAAATAGCAGGTCATGACGATTTCTGTTTTTTTTTCATACTGAATTCCAACTTCTTTGTCCCATGTCTGTTATTAACTTTGACCAAGCTACATGTTTAATTTGTACATATTGTCAGCAGATTATCATGGTATATTTGTATGGAATTATTTACATATTTAAGGCTCGTTCAGATATGATGCGGCAAAATGCGACGGCTAAAAAAAAAATGATGATGTAAAGTGTAATACGCATGACATTTCTATATCTTACAACACAGAGCAAGTCCTGTGTTGCGCGCAGCTGCCACATATTTAATAATTGTAAAATATATTTTAAAACACAGCTGCTTTTTTGTTATTGCTGCAGTTTACCGTGCCACATATGAACAAGCCTTAAGTCTCTATTTCGCTTTATGTGTGTTGTCAAGTGTTTTTTTCTTTACGTTTTAATGATGATGTCATTAGATATTTGTTGTAATATTTTTTGGATGAGGGAAATATATTGCCTGCTTTTCTTGAAACTCAAGAGAGTTTTAATAAACAAATTCTTATAGCATGTATAAATGTGTAAAAATACAATATACTTGTATCAAGACAAAAATTGAAAGATGCTTCTATATATGATTGGGAAAGTCTTTCTAAATCTTTTGTGGGATTCACATTTGTGAAGATGAAATTTGTAAGGGTTTAAAAAGAACACTTTGGGGTTCAATTTCTTGATTTCTCTTCTTTAAAAATACTAATTTTCTTATTTGTTTGAAAATTAAGACTAATGATAAATATTACTAGTATTTTCTTGTGCAATCTTTCCATGTAGGTCAGTATAATACTGCTGTATCTGTAGGACAGGAGGCCCTGAAGCATGTGAAGGAAGATCCATCTATCTACTATGCCATGGGCAATGTCTTGGGCAAGATGGAGCGATATAAGGTATGTGTCAATTATTTATTGGGTCAAATGCGGACTTTAAAAGAAAGAGGGTTTGCTTTGGTGAATAATTTGTGATTTAAATTTTGGCAAATAATTACACTTACAACAATCAAAACCATAGCAAGAAAAGAAAAGAAAAAGGAGATTACGAATGAGAATAATGATGATGAAGATAATACTACTACTAATAAGAAGAATATTGGTGATGATGACTATGATGATGATAAAGATAATGATTTATAATAATGATAATTACGATAATAATAATAATGATACATAACAATAACAATAATGATAATACTACAAATGATGATAATAATAATAATACAGAAGCTTAAATAACTAAAGAAAATAAGCTTTTGTAGGATGATCTCATATAGACTGTCATATTTCAACTAAATTGATTTTATGATATTTAAAATGAGATATAAGAAAGCTCAAAACTTTTTAAATTAAAATATTAAAAAAAATAAAAAAAACCTTCAACATATTTTCATCAACATAATCAATGCGAGGTTGATCAGGCAAGTGTGAAGATGAATATTCAAATTTAAGTCCATTGAAAACTCCAGGTATTAATCAATTAAACCAGATCTCAAGAAAGAGAAAATAGTAGTTTTAAAGGTTGCATTTAGCAGATCTTTACAGTTACAGGTGAGCTGTTACTTTTCATTTGTAATCAAAATAATTGTTTCATACATGCAGGAAGCTGAAGAGATGTACCTGCAAGCCATCCATTACAAACCGAATGTGGCTCGTTACCATGGCAACCTAGGTGTCCTCTATCACCGGTGGGGAAAGCTTGAGGAGGCCTACCACCAATACCAGAGGTCGTTGACCCTTGATCCTGCTTCAGAGGTCATGGAAGAGAATCTGAGAAAGCTAGGGAGGAAGCTGAAGAAGAAGCAGACTGTTTGACCCTTGACCCTTGACCCGGCTTCAGAAGTCACAGAAGATAATTTGAGAAAGCTGGCTAGGAAGCTGAAGAAGAAGCAGACTGTTTGACCCTGGACCCCGCTTCAGAGGTCATGGAAGAGAATTTGAGGAAGCTAGACAGGAAGCAAAAGAAGAAGCAGACTGTTTTAATTCAATGCTAATATATCTTCAGGGTTTTATGTGAAATCAAACTTTTATTTGAAATGAAGGAAAAAAAGGTCTGACTTTCAAAATTTGTATGACCTGGCTTTCAGAAACTGATTGTGATGAGTAAATACTTTCATTTCTCTGGTCAAACACGAACCTTCCTGGTTCTAGATGACAACGGATGGCATGATGGATCAATGGTAGCTAGAGCAGTGGTCTCATATCTGGGAGGTCCCGGGCTTAAAACCAAGTCGACGCGCTAGTGCCCTTTGATAAGGTAGTGATCCTCATTACCAGGTCCCTCAGGGTGGACCTAAAGCTGTCAGTCCCCTGGTTACTTTATACAAGCATACACATGCTTTCTTAGCAGTCAGGAAAAACAAACAAACAAACAAACTTTGTCTCCTGAAATAATTGAATATAATGTTGCTAGGGAAGAAAAGACACCTTGAACTTGTGCCTGGATTAGCCACAGGATTTATTTAGATTACATACCGGTAGTTGTGCTATAAGAGGTTAAGATGCAATAAAATAACTAAATCCAACTCACTTTATTTTGCTGAAGAGTACAAGACCTATAAGAATATACATGTATTTTTATTTGAAAAAGAACCCCTTTATTTTGCAGAAAACATGTAATGTATTTCTATATTAAAAGTGAAAATAGTTATAATTAAATTATCTATATTTTTAAACGTGTATGTAGATTCATTATTCTAAATTTGGTGTATGTTTATGGTATGATGTTTTCACACAATATCAATCATTTCGCTATATTTCACACCGTACAACTAGAATTTTTGGTGGATTTGTCTTTTATGGTTGAAAGTTACTGATAAAATTTCCATGCATGCTTTTACACTGAAATATGATGCAGGAGGAAATACTATAAAGTGAAATATTGAAGGAAAAAAAATGCCTCGGAAATACATAGAAGTATCTCTTTGTGTACCTCGTCTCTGGAGTATAATGCAATATGTCAAGAATATTTTGATGTAAACATCTGGATCATTAGATGTTTAATCTAATCTGGATCATTATAGTGCCTTATCCATATCCATTTGTATATTGTATTCCAGATTATTCCTGTGTGCTTATAGTGTATATTTACAGTGAGTGTTTAAATATATACTTAATATGATAACTTAAGATTTAGATGCAAAATATACAGTACTGGTAAAAAAAACAAAATATATTATCCTTTCCTGTTTATAACCTATCCTATCAAACAGAAATTTGTTTTCATTTTAATAAGAAGTCTCCCTTCTTTAATACCCACTCCCATTCTCTCTAACTCTGGCTCTCTCACTCTCTCTCTCTCTCTCTCTCTCTCTCTCCTTCCCTCTATCTCTCCCTCCGCCTCAATTTCTTCCATTTTTGTGTTTAACATCAGATAATGATTTATCAGTGAAAATTACTTAGGTGTTGTGCTTTAAATTGCTATTTCTGGTATACATGTACATAATAATCCCACTCACAGTCTATTTTTCTCATCTTACTTTTTTGGTTGTTCGGTCATCTCTCTTTCACACTCCCAGGTTAGCATCTATATACTCTCATTGATTTTCTGTATGATCATATTCTTGTGAAACGGATTAGTATTATTGAAATTTGGTTGTGGTCGTGATATTCTCCATTTTGCATACTCAAGTTATTGCTTGTAAATCCAAATAATCATGTATTCATGAATACACATACTTTATATATGTGGAGATGTTGTAGTATATTGGTTTGTTCACTAGACTCTGAATCAAAGGGTTGGGGGTTCAAATCTAACGTCCTTTTGTAAGACATTAATCTATATCTGTCGCTCTCTGCCCAGGTGTAGATGGGCACCTAGACATTGCTTGGGTAATAATAATTGCAGGGCATTCAGGAAGAACAGCATTGGTGCTGATGAGGCTTCCTTGGGCAAATGATATTAATGTACTGTTTGGAGCCAGAAGGGCGTTATCTCATATACTTAAGTTTAACAGAGAGTCGATGCCCTTCTGGCTCTGAACGGATGATTATTATTATTATTGATATTATGTAATCATAATTCAAATATTTAACAATGCATTTTGATGTTTTAGTCTTTCTTTTCAACTGTACATAGACATGTACGTTCGGGGGATTTACAGAAATGTACTGAAAGGCCAGAAATGTTGGGAAAATAAAACTGAAGCAAATTTTGCTATGAAATAACTTCAATCATATTTTGGCAATGAGCAAGATGAAAATGGATGTTGTGAACAATTAATTGGCCACAAAAGGTTCGAGTCAAGACACTTTCTGGTTTTACAGGATGTATATATATATATATATATGTGTAACCCCCATAAAAATGGCAGTTACTAAAATCATATTTTGTTATTTATTCTTTTCCTATCTCTATCTCTCTCTCTCTCTCTCTCTCTCTCTCTCTCTCTCTCTCTCTCTCTCTTTCTCTCTCTTTTCTCTCTCTCTCTCTCTCTCTCTCTCTTTGTATCCATTCATTTCATCTCATACTTCTAAGAAACAAACTCTGCTTTGTGCTCCTTATGCAGTTTAGTGCAATATAGGTTTGTTCTCACCCAGATTATTTTCTTCTCCCAGTTTAAAAACTATTGCTGGTAGATAACTTACTTGCTAGGGCTTTGACCATCAATAACACTGGACACAGTGTTTGGGATTATATTGTCTCCCACAGAATTCGGTGCCCTTTCCCCTTTGTCTATTCCCTTTAATAGGACCCTCTTTACTTAAGTGGTGTTTGCAGGTAGATTGTGTCCCTTCAGGATGTTGCTACTGTTAATCTCTGTATTCAGGAGAAGTATAGTTTTAAGTGGTTGTACTAAGAAAAGACGAGCTTTTAGACCATGCTGTAGAGAGCTGGCTTGGAGTATTGGGTTTGAGACAAAGGATGAGTCATTTTAGTTAAGGATGCAAGCTTGGTCCTATCACATGATGTTAGGTAACCAATAAGAAGTCTAGTTGGAAGGAAGGGTAATGTGGGTCTGGACAGTTTAATAAAACTTTGAAACTTTAAGTTTCCAGCTCATTCTCTGCCCAGCTGCCATTGCTTCGAACACTGCCCTGTATATATTCAATCTCCATGTTGGAGCATGTGCTACTAAATATATCTGTAGCCTCTATCTGATTTTCTTCTTCAATATATATATATATATATATATACAAAACGTATATATCAACTTTACCTTCTTCAAGTTCTCTAAGTTTTGAGAGAGTTTCCTGTATTATATTTGATTGGGCATTTCATCCAACTTCAACCTTTATGAGTTGCATGGTTATCATCCCAGTTCCTGATTTTATATTGCAAGCAAGTGTTGGCTCTTTTACTAGGTAAGAACACTATATTTTGCTATGTATGTTTTCATTACTCTGTTGTATGAAGTGTGTGTATATCATGATGATATCTATATTTTGCTTGTATGACTCTGAGTGTAGTTTGAGACTGTAGCATACATTCTATAACTTTTTAATTCAGATGTGTGTTATACAAGATTGATTCTTTCTGCTGATCAAACAATTCAGTTAAATGAGAAGAAAAGATTATTATGGGAGATTATTTTGCAGTTATTATACTGCATAGCATGCGAGCCCTAAAATAGCCCATGCTGAAAGATAATTGGCTTTTATTTAGGGTAATGGCAACTCGTGCAAGAGGTCATTGAACTCTCACTAAATTTGGTGGTTTGAGATACTTGGTTGTAGATAAGATTTACTAACCTTATCTACTGATGTACTGGTAATGTGTATTTGCTGTTCATTAAGGTTATGCGCAGCGTGGAGCATTATTACGCATATTCAATTGCTGGACTTTTCCATTAATTGTAAAAGTCAAATGTTATTTTGGCAAATTCTAAATCAAGCGATATGGTCAGGTCAATCAGATAGATCGAGCTATCTATCTGTGGCATCCCTATCGCATTCATTATAGCTCATAATGATATGAATGAAAACTCTACTGAACAGTTGGTGCACTATGCTATCTTCATTGCATGCAATTATTGTGATGTATACATATTTTATTTATATTTACTAACGTGGGATAAGTACTATTTTGAAAGGATTGTATCATGTTAATCATGAATTAAACTAAGTTATAAGTATAACTGAGTAAATTAAGTTGACAGAATCACATTGATTCTTCCAAAGTTAATTAGATAAATCAAGAGGCAAACTCTCATTCTTTTCTTAATTTAATCTATTGAGGGACGAGCTTGTTATATATATATATATATATATATATATATATATATATATATTTATCTTTCCCTCTCTTAAGGAATGTTTTATTAGAAGAGTTCTGTTTATTATGCTCTTTTACTAGGCGGATCTTTTACTAGGCGGATCTTTTACTAGGCGGATCTTTTACTAGGGTCTTTTAATTGATGAAATTCATCAAGCTTCAAGCTATCGTTCAACTTGTTCCTGTGTTCTGCGTGCTGCGACGTCCTCTTCAACGACACAGAGATGCCGGATATATTGATCAACCGCGTATCGCGAGCGAGTTCATGAACATTTAATAATTTGGTTACTTTAATATTTAGATAATAATCGGTTTAGTTATAAGTTATAATACCTTATAATGTTATAGTTGTAAGTTGTGGAAGTTTTGTTTATTTCAATGTTTACTTGATTTGCAGTTGTTATTGACAACGAGCTAATAAAGGCATTGCCAGGTTATTTTGTTAAAACTTAACCTCAAGTGTAATTTCTTTATTTATGAACCTGGGAAATTGTGACATTCGGGTTACATAAATTGGGGGCTTGTCCGGGAACTAAATTTGCATATATGCATAATTAATATTACTTATTTGATAGATACTTTATAATTACCTTGTAATTAATTAATATTCTCCGCTTATTAAGTTTTAATTGCTAGTGTAAGCAATTAGTATTATACATTGTTGAAGGCATTGTAATTGTCTTCGTCATCATAGTTAAGAGTTTAAGAGCCAACACTTGCACAAGTTAGTAGAAGCAATGGCAGCGAACAGTTTGAAAGAATTTGGGCAGGAGTGGTGCAAGGAGGAGGGAATAACGGCAGATAATGCCCTCCTACTTGTAACACAAACAATGGCAATGCCTGATGAGGTACTTGCCCTGGCAATTTCGGATCGATTTCCCACCTTAAGTGGGATACTCAGAAAGAATGAGCCAACTAATAACGAAACTTTGATACTCTGTATGTTTGAGGGAGCCACTCCTATTGTCGGTGTAGGGAAGGAGATCCATATATCCGTAGATGGGGACACAGTGTGCCAGGTAGTTAGGTTGGAAGATAGGGACCCCTCGCAAGAAGGTAGGGTAAACATTAAAGACTTAAAGGATAGTGGGTTGGTAGACGAATGGAAGAAAGCTAAAGAAGCCGCATTGCTTAAAGAAGAGGTTTCCAAGAAAGAAAATGTTTCCCCTAGCCCTAGCCCAGCCACAAATAACTTAGATCGGGAAGTCCCTTCGTTGTCTGCGTCGTTATCAAAATGCGCGCTTACAACAAACTACAGAAAATTGCGCTGTTTCTCAGGCGCGAGGAACCCCGCGCGCGATGAGGACTCGTATCCTTTGTGGATAGAGCACGTTGAGGGTCAGATGGATGAGTGGCAGGATCTCGGAGATGGCGAGCGCCGAAAGCGCATTCGCGAGGCGCTGCGCCCTCCGGCGTCAAGCATCATTGGTGACCTCCGCCGTGAGCTTCCCCACGCAGATTCGTATGAGTACCTCAAGGCCTTAGATTTGGCCTATGGGGACACGAACACTGATGATGAGCTGTTCGTCAAATTCCATAATACCACGCAGCTCGAGGGCGAGCGACCCTCCGAATATCTTTCTCGCTTGCAGGAGATACTGAGACAGGTAGTGAGGCGTGGAGTAGTAAAACCTACAGACTCCAATCAGGTAAGACTAAAGCAGTTTATCAGGGGCATTTTGTATAATGAGATGCTCCTGATCAACTTACAACTCCGCGATAAATTAACCCACCCTCCTTCATTTCTGCAGTTATTATCCTCTGTAAGGAAGCAGGAGGAAGAAGACTCCATGAAGGCCAGCCTCACCCGGCCGAGGCAAAGAGTAGACGCAGGTAAGCGTGCCGCCGCACATAACCGTGTGGAGGCCCCAGTTCAACCAGTCCAAATTTCTCGTACTTCTATCCCCTCTGAATCCACCCCAATCCAGCAGACTCCTCACAGGCCGCCTCCTCCCAGGCCACATGGCAACACATCTGAGGTCATTTGCTTCAAGTGTGGGGAGGTAGGGCATATAAGTAGAATATGCAACAGCCCAGCTGCCCCTGAAGCCATCAACAAGAAACTGATCCAATTTATCCTAGGCAAGCAGGGAAACGCCAAAGGACGCCTGGTAAGGGGAGACCAGGAGTCCACTTAAGTACAGCACCCCAACAGGTATGCGATGTTCCCCCAGGATTGGTTGGGGAAAGTATCACCCAGAAGTGCTGGGTGGATGGGATAGAGACTACTTCCCTCATAGATAGCGGCTCACAGGTGACACTCATTCAGAAGAGCTTATTCGATAAGCTCGATCGTGAGTTGCATTCTATGAGGGATCTAGTACTCTATCATGGCGGTGACGGAACCTTACCCTACTTAGGCTATGCCTATGTTAATATAGGATTTGACAAGGCCTTTAGCGGGACAGGGACCCAATTCAGTACTCTAGCCCTAGTAGTGCCGGATGCTAAGCATCAAAGAAACCATTCAGTGGTTATAGGAACAAATTCAGGTCTTTTCCGTAATTGCTTTGAGTCATGTAAGAGGTTAGCTGGGGTTCGATTTGCACAAACTTTGCAGATAAGTCCCTTGTGTAAAGACATCTACTCTTCTCTCTCCAAGAAACAGACACTCCCTGCCGACGGTAAACTCGGCACCATCAGAACAAGAAAAAGACACGAAGTCCACATTCAACCTCATAGCCGTCATACCATAATAGGTCAATGTAGAAACACACTCCGGGCACCAGCGACTGCGGTCATTGAGTCCCATTCCCCAACTAGGTTAGCAAAGGGCTTAGAAGTGATACCCTCAGTAGTTGAGGTCCCTGGGGAAGCCTTTTGTAAGGTCGAAGTTCTACTTGTCAATAAGAGCTCAAAGCAAATCACCATCCCTGGGAACTATCCACTGGCTGATCTATTCATCACAGAGTGGTGCCGCCAACCTCCCAATCAGGGCTCTACTAATGCCATCCATGCATCATCTTCTGCTACCAGTGCAGAAATGGGCACCACCATTCCACATGATATCGATGTTGCGGACCTCCCTATTAGTTGGGGCCCCATAACCCCTGAATGGAAGGAACGCCTTCTACATCAGTGTAGGCGGAGGAAAACTGTGTTCTCCAGGCATGACTTTGACCTGGGATGCTCTGCCTATGCTGAGCATCAGATCAACGTCAACGACAGCACGCCATTCCGGGAGAGATCTAGGAGGGTAGCCCCTTCAGACTTGAAGGATCTGCAACAACATCTGCAGCAGCTACTTGACCACAAAGTAATCAAAGAGTCTCGAAGTCCATACGCTTCTCCAATTGTTCTTGTTCGCAAGAAAAATGGGAGTTTGAGAATGTGCGTAGACTACCGCACCCTCAATTCACGCACGATTCCTGACCAGTATGCAGTCCCTCTGATTCAAGAGGCCATTGATTGCCTTAATGGAAATAAATGGTTCTCGGTGATAGATCTGAAGTCAGGTTTTTATCAGATCCCCATGCGTGAAGAGGACAAAGAGAAGACAGCCTTTATCTGTCCTCTAGGCTTCTACCAGTTCGAGCGAATGCCCCAGGGTGTAAAAGGGGCCCCGGCCACTTTCCAACGTTTGATGGAGAAGTGTATGTCAGGTTTAAACATGATGGAGGTACTTGTGTACATGGACGACCTCATCATTTTCTCTAAGACGCTAGAAGAGATGGAGGAGCGCCTGGGTAGAGTGCATGGGTGTCGATCCCGGGGGGGATGGGGGGGATATATCCCCCCCAATATTTCAGGTGGGGGGGATGGCCTGTACAATCATCCCCCCCAATAATTCGCCATCAATAAAAAAAAAAAATGAAGAGAAAAATTAAGGATGAGAGCCCGATGAGAGTAGTTAATGGTTATTACTCGCAAGATGACCACCGATATACACATTTTACTATCTCATTTCCATAATACATACATATATACGAAGTAAATAATACAACCGTATGTGAGACAATAATAAATAGAATTCTCGCTCATACGGCTTCATCAGGAATTGATGAATTTATTCAATTTGTTCAATCAACAGCATCATAGAAATGCAGTGCGCCAAATGCAAAGACGCAACGTCAAAAAGCAACGAGCTAAATGTTAAGCGCGAAGCGCAAAAATTGCAATCTGCAATGCACATCAGACAATCCTGGACAGTGTAAACATAGATGAACTCTGTGACGATTTCGTGATGAGATCGGAGACAAGGAGAAAGATTTTCGGACATTAGTATGACTTATAAAATAGTTCTCTAGTTGTTATGTTGTTTTCGTTCACCCTTTTTAAAATTCACGTCATTGTATCTTTATTTTTGTTTTTTTCACTCATTTTATTTCCTGATATTTCCTAAAAGATTTTTCATTTTTAAAGAAAAATTATTATGTCACAAATTATTTGTAACACAAATTATTTTCAGTGGGGAAACTGAATTCAGACAAGGATTCATATAGAGAACAGTACAATGAATTGCTTCTTTCTCTAATAATTCAGTGAAAAGGGCAAAGCAGTTAGGGGGCAACTGAATTCAGACGTGGATTAAGCGTAATAATCAAATGAAACGTCAAAGTACACGATACAACGAAGCGTCTTCTTTTACGAATAATTTAATGAAACGTGAAAGCTTCCGCGCTAAGCGCGGAATGGGCGAAAATGAATACAGACAAGGATTAAGAGTAATGATAAATTGAAACGTTAAAGCTTCCGCGCTTCGTGCGGTAGGGGGGAAACTGAGTTCATGAAGGACACGATACAACAAATCGTCTTCTTTCACTAATGTGAAAGCTTCCGCGCTTCGCGCAGGAATTGGCGAAAATGAATTCAGACAAGGATTAAGAGTCGAGAATGGTACATAGGATCGTCTTCTTTCTTTAATCATCTAATGAAACATCAGAGCTTCCGCGCTACGCGCGGGGAAGGGGGAATTTGATTCAAACATTAAGGATTAAGAGTCGAGAATGGTCCATCGAATCGTCTTCTTTCTTTAATAATCTGATGAAACATCAGAGCTTCCGCGCTACGCGCGGAGGAAGGGGAACTTGATTCAAACAAGTATTAAGAGTCGAGAACCGGTCCAAATTGCAACGAACCGTCTTCTTTCTCTTATAATTTAGTAAAACGTCAAAGGTTCCGCGCTTTGCGCGGTAGGGGACAAACTGAATTCATGAAGGACACGATGCATCGAATCGTCTTCTTTCTTTAATAATCTGATGTAACGTCAGAGCTTCCGCGCTACGCGCGGGGAAGGGGGAATTTGATTCAAACATTAAGGATTAAGAGTCGAGAATGGTACATCGAATCGTCTTCTGTCTTTAATAATCTAATGAAACGTCAGAGCTTCCACGCTACACGCGGAGGAAGGGGAACTTGATTCAAACAAGGATTAAGAGTCGAGAACGGTCCAACGAATCGTCTTCTTTCTCTAATAATTTAGTGAAACGTCAAAGCTTCCGCGCTTCGCGGGGGGGAACTCCCCCTCCCTACACGCAACCCCGTAGGGACCGCGCTTCGCGTGCTCACTACCGCCCCCTAAAATGAAATCCTGGCTACGCGCTTGGGAGGGGTGCAACTTGCCACACGCTTCTACCTCTTGATTGCTTTGATCCATTGCCGAAAATATTTTGGCACCTATCATCCCCCCCAACCACGGATACAAATCGACACCCTTGGTAGAGTGCTTGATCGGATGCATGAATTTGGCTTGAAGGCATCTCCTGAGAAGTGTCAATTCTGTTGTGAGTCGGTCAAGTATCTAGGTCATGTAGTCTCGGCAGAGGGAGTGCAGACAGACCCAGACAAGGTAGCAGACCTCGCAACGTGGCCTAGACCAGAAACTATCAGGCAAGTAAAGTCTTTCTTAGGATTTGCAGGATACTATCGGCGATTCATCAAGGACTACTCCAAGATATCACGCCCACTGAATGCTCTCACTATTGGGTGTGTATACCCAAAGAAGAGAGGGCAGCCACCTCCCAAGAGGCAGCCTGACCCTAATGCTAGACGAGCTAATGATTCCATTAGTGACCTCTGGACAAGTGAGTGTGAGGATGCGTTCCACGCACTCAAGAAACTACTTGTTTCTGCCCCAGTGCTTGCCTTCGCAGACCTGTCACAACCCTTTGTTTTGCATGTTGATGCGAGTCGTGACGGTCTGGGTGGTGTCCTATACCAGGAGCATGAAGGAAAGCTCCGCCCGGTTGCATACGGCAGCCGAGGATTATCAGCAAGTGAGAAGAACTACCCAGCCCACAAGCTGGAGTTCTTAGCCCTTAAGTGGGCAGTTACAGACAAGTTCCGTGAGTATCTGTATGGAGCTAAGGGTACGCGGATTATGACAGATAATAATCCACTAACATATATACTAAGCTCAGCCAAACTCGACGCCACAGGCCATCGGTGGTTGGCTGCACTCTCATGTTTCGATTTCTCCATCCACTATAAGCCAGGTAAGGCAAATATTGAAGCCGACGCACTGTCTCGCAAGCCTCAAAACCCTGCCTTGGACGAGGAATACGAACAGCGCCAAAAGTGGAAGCTGAGTGACCTGGAGGCACGGCTCAGGGATGACGCCGATGTAATCTGCCCCCAGGAAGCCATCAGTGCCCTGTACCAGCCGTACGAGGCTGTACCCAAGACAGAAGTAGGCCCCATACCTAAGGTCACCCATAAACATGTACCTATGATAGAGACCCTTTGTGCAAGTGCCGAGTCCATTCCCAGCCTTTATGCAAAAGGCTCAGACCTAAACAAGGTAGACTGGTCCCAGGCACAAAATGCAGACCAAATTGTGAACCTGGTCCGGAGTCATGTAGAGCAAGGTAAGAAACCCTCTTCGTTGGATGGTGTACCACGTGATGCTAAGCTCATGCTCCGTGAATTTGATAGGCTCGTGCTGAGGCAAGGCATCCTCTATAGGTCTTTCTTAGATTCCCTTGGGAAGACTCATTACCAGCTCGTCCTGCCCTCAAGTAGCCGGAGGCAAGCTATGAGAGGCATCCATGATGAGGTGGGTCATCTCGGCATTGAAAGATCAATAGCCTTTGCTAGGGACAGGTTCTACTGGCCCAAGATGAGTGCCGAAATAACAGAGTGGGTGAAGCACTGTCCCCGTTGCGTGGCAAGAAAATCACATCAGCACATATCAGCGCCACTGGTTAGTATCAAGACGACGAGTCCATTGGAGCTGGTCTGCATGGATTTTCTGTCCTTAGAGCCAGACCGCTCTAACAAAAAGTCAATACTAGTGGTAACTGACCACTACACTCGATATGCGCAAGCTTTCCCAACAAAAGACCAAACTGCTAAAACTGTGGCTAAGGTCTTATGGGAGAACTTTTTTGTACATTATGGCTTGCCTCAACGCCTTCACTCCGATCAAGGCAGAGACTTCGAGAGCAAAGTCATATATGAACTGACCAGGCTCCTTGGAGTTCAAAAGTCAAGGACCACCCCATATCATCCTCAAGGTGACCCCCAGCCCGAAAGGTTCAACCGAACTTTACTAAGTATGCTAGGAACCCTAGAGGAAGAGAAGAAACAAAACTGGAGCAAGTACGTTAGTGCATTAGTGCATGCGTACAATTGTTCAAAGCATGATAGCACTGGTTTTTCCCCATACCTTTTGATGTTTGGTAGGGAAGCTAGACTACCTGTTGATTTGCGCTTTGGCACGAGTCCAGACAACCATAGTGGCACGGATCACGTTCAGTATGTCCAGGGACTTCGTGAACAACTCGCTCGTGCTTACAAGCTTGCATCTGAGGCGTCAGACAAGTCGGCCGAGGCCAACAAGAAAAGGTACGATGCTAAGGTGCGAGAAAATGATCTCCAGACAGGAGACAGAGTGCTTGTGAGAAATGTCGGTCTGACTGGCAAGCACAAGCTAGCCGACAAGTGGTTTCGAGAGCCACAAATAGTTGTACGGCGTATCAACCCAGACATGCCTGTCTATAAAGTAAAGCCGGAGAATGGAGAAGGTCGAGAACGAACCCTCCATAGAAATCTCCTCCTACCAATTGAGTATTTTAATGAGACTTTGCTTTCCCCCATTGTGCAAAGAGTCCGTAAAGGTCCATCACATCGGACTAGATCCAAACAGGTTCTAGCCGCCGAACCGAGTCACTCAAGTGATGAATCTGCCTCGGATGATGAGAGTGTCGCTCTACTTTTCCCAGAGATGCCACCTGCCCCTGGCCTCCGTGTGGATGCCCCTGAGTTTGTCCCAGATAGGGTAAGGCCCATTCCTGAGATCCCATCTCCCATTATAGTGGAAGATGAAAGTGATGAAGGAAGTATCCAAGATGGCAGTCCTGCAGTAAGTATGATCGAAAGTGATGAAGAAGTCTTATTTCCCTTGAATGAAGCTCCTGAACTGATAGAGCCCCAGCAGAGGGCCGAAGAGGTAGGTTACGGGGACCAGATTCTGAGGAGGGAGAATACTGATGGCGAAGAAATGGGTGCTGACCCCGTCGATCAAATAGGTAATGTATCTCTTGAGAATCCTTTTGTTTCTAGCAATGTACCTGCTGTCTTACCAGACATCGAACCTGGTGCTGTAGACGCAGAGCCCGAGCCGCAATCCATCCGACGCTCAACGCGCTCTTCTAAGCCGCCGCAGCGCATGGTATATAGCGATTTGGGTGATCCTCTGACAAGATCGGCTACCTCCTCTAGGTTATTTGCTGGGTTAAGGCAGAAGATTTTTGGATTTTAAATATTGTCTAACTTTTACTTATGTTCACGGAGTGAACAGGGTTTGAGGAGGGAGGATGTAACCCCCATAAAAATGGCAGTTACTAAAATCATATTTTGTTATTTATTCTTTTCCTATCTCTATCTCTCTCTCTCTCTCTCTCTCTCTCTCTTTCTCTCTCTTTTTTCTCTCTCTCTCTCTCTCTCTCTCTCTTTGTATCCATTCATTTCATCTCATACTTCTAAGAAACAAACTCTGCTTTGTGCTCCTTATGCAGTTTAGTGCAATATAGGTTTGTTCTCACCCAGATTATTTTCTTCTCCCAGTTTAAAAACTATTGCTGGTAGATAACTTACTTGCTAGGGCTTTGACCATCAATAACACTGGACACAGTGTTTGGGATTATATTGTCTCCCACAGAATTCGGTGCCCTTTCCCCTTTGTCTATTCCCTTTAATAGGACCCTCTTTACTTAAGTGGTGTTTGCAGGTAGATTGTGTCCCTTCAGGATGTTGCTACTGTTAATCTCTGTATTCAGGAGAAGTATAGTTTTAAGTGGTTGTACTAAGAAAAGACGAGCTTTTAGACCATGCTGTAGAGAGCTGGCTTGGAGTATTGGGTTTGAGACAAAGGATGAGTCATTTTAGTTAAGGATGCAAGCTTGGTCCTATCACATGATGTTAGGTAACCAATAAGAAGTCTAGTTGGAAGGAAGGGTAATGTGGGTCTGGACAGTTTAATAAAACTTTGAAACTTTAAGTTTCCAGCTCATTCTCTGCCCAGCTGCCATTGCTTCGAACACTGCCCTGTATATATTCAATCTCCATGTTGGAGCATGTGCTACTAAATATATCTGTAGCCTCTATCTGATTTTCTTCTTCAATATATATATATATATATATATACAAAACGTATATATCAACTTTACCTTCTTCAAGTTCTCTAAGTTTTGAGAGAGTTTCCTGTATTATATTTGATTGGGCATTTCATCCAACTTCAACCTTTATGAGTTGCATGGTTATCATCCCAGTTCCTGATTTTATATTGCAAGCAAGTGTTGGCTCTTTTACTAGGTAAGAACACTATATTTTGCTATGTATGTTTTCATTACTCTGTTGTATGAAGTGTGTGTATATCATGATGATATCTATATTTTGCTTGTATGACTCTGAGTGTAGTTTGAGACTGTAGCATACATTCTATAACTTTTTAATTCAGATGTGTGTTATACAAGATTGATTCTTTCTGCTGATCAAACAATTCAGTTAAATGAGAAGAAAAGATTATTATGGGAGATTATTTTGCAGTTATTATACTGCATAGCATGCGAGCCCTAAAATAGCCCATGCTGAAAGATAATTGGCTTTTATTTAGGGTAATGGCAACTCGTGCAAGAGGTCATTGAACTCTCACTAAATTTGGTGGTTTGAGATACTTGGTTGTAGATAAGATTTACTAACCTTATCTACTGATGTACTGGTAATGTGTATTTGCTGTTCATTAAGGTTATGCGCAGCGTGGAGCATTATTACGCATATTCAATTGCTGGACTTTTCCATTAATTGTAAAAGTCAAATGTTATTTTGGCAAATTCTAAATCAAGCGATATGGTCAGGTCAATCAGATAGATCGAGCTATCTATCTGTGGCATCCCTATCGCATTCATTATAGCTCATAATGATATGAATGAAAACTCTACTGAACAGTTGGTGCACTATGCTATCTTCATTGCATGCAATTATTGTGATGTATACATATTTTATTTATATTTACTAACGTGGGATAAGTACTATTTTGAAAGGATTGTATCATGTTAATCATGAATTAAACTAAGTTATAAGTATAACTGAGTAAATTAAGTTGACAGAATCACATTGATTCTTCCAAAGTTAATTAGATAAATCAAGAGGCAAACTCTCATTCTTTTCTTAATTTAATCTATTGAGGGACGAGCTTGTTATATATATATATATATATATATATATATATATATATATTTATCTTTCCCTCTCTTAAGGAATGTTTTATTAGAAGAGTTCTGTTTATTATGCTCTTTTACTAGGCGGATCTTTTACTAGGCGGATCTTTTACTAGGCGGATCTTTTACTAGGGTCTTTTAATTGATGAAATTCATCAAGCTTCAAGCTATCGTTCAACTTGTTCCTGTGTTCTGCGTGCTGCGACGTCCTCTTCAACGACACAGAGATGCCGGATATATTGATCAACCGCGTATCGCGAGCGAGTTCATGAACATTTAATAATTTGGTTACTTTAATATTTAGATAATAATCGGTTTAGTTATAAGTTATAATACCTTATAATGTTATAGTTGTAAGTTGTGGAAGTTTTGTTTATTTCAATGTTTACTTGATTTGCAGTTGTTATTGACAACGAGCTAAATTTCTTTATTTATGAACCTGGGAAATTGTGACATTCGGGTTACATATGTATAACGGTATGTTGTCTTCCATTGCTGCTGAAAGCAAACTGTTTCTGTTGTTTTATTATGGTGCTTGGAAGTAATTTTGATGTAAAATTTTAATCATGTGACATCTCATGTAGTGACTATATTCAAAATAAATGGACCAAACAATATACATGGTCTTTCATAGTAAAAATCATGACTGATGTCTCTTCTATTGTGAAGTTGCAATGTAGATGAAATTGGTGTTTTTGACTCAAACCCACTAAAATTAGGTCGGAGTTTCAACCTGACCTAAATTTGCACCACTTTTCAGAATACTGTCAATAGTGATAAATTTCCGGACTGGAATTCAGAATCGAATTCACATTTGTTGTTAATAAGGTAAAAACAAAATCACTTGACAGAGTGCAAACAGTTTGGAGAAGAAAAAAATATATCAAAACATTAATTTGTGACAAATCATTCATTTTATTACGTAATATATTTTATCTACATATATTTACAAGTTATCGCTGAATATATACACATATAATAACTTATATTGGAAAGATACACATCAGGAACAGGTATATTTCAACCATCAAAAGGAACTAACTATTAATAGGCTGAATAAATACAACAAGCAAATTCATTTCTCCATGCTTTGCATGCAAAAGCCTATAGGAAAAGAGAGAGAGATAGAGCTTTGCTAGTTTTATATACCTGGCTCCACTGTCCAATTTTCAATATCTGAATTTAAACCATTGTTTATTAAATCAATCAAGAACTCCTGCCTTATAAACCTACTGGCTAAAAAAGGGCTGTTCTCAAGAAAAATGTGAAAATATACTCCTTTGAGAAAACCAATCTAAAAAGCCAGAAAAGTTCTATATATCATGTAGTTTTATGATCAATACAGTCAAACCTGTAAATTTAGGCCACCCAAGGGAGACAAAATACATAGCCACTAAAGACGGGTGGCCTTTATAGAGAAGTGGCCACTAAATCAGGTTTGACTGTATTTTGTGTTACCATTTTTTTTTTGAGTGATGAGCATGGATTTTTAATTTTATTTGCTAAGATGACCTTCATACTCGCAACTGTCCTTAAGATATATTTTGATAAAACCTTGCTTATACAGTTTTAATGTTTCCTTAAAATGTCAGTATCCAACAGAAGTTTACTGACACAACATCTGTAGTCACATTGTCCTTTAAAAACATAATTTATTTTTTATAGTAGTAGTCATAATTGTCCCTTAGAAATAAAATGTTGCACTTTTGGAGTTTGTTGTTAATGTTTCTTCAGAATGTGACGGTGTCCATGACTAGAATCTTGGTGTCAATGGTGTCTTTAAGCCAGCGATCCCTGAACCTGGACTGACCGGGTTGGTGAACAAGACGGTTGGACTCAAACACATAGTATACAGATACAGGAAACGTCTGAAACACAAACAATGAGGGAAATACTGTTAGTATATGCACTGCTGTACCGGTATTTCAATAACTCAAAAGGCCACCGTAAAGAAATTAGTACATTGATATATTAAACTTGGTAACATTATTTAGCATTTGTACATAATATACACCACCAAAAAAAAGCCACTACACCATGGTTAGAAAATATTGTGCTTGTAAAAGAAACAGAGAGACTACCTAAAGAGAATAAGGAGATATCCAGGGCCCCATTTCACAAAACTTGTCATCGGTGACAAATGATAGTTTGTGTAAAGCTAGTGAAATCCTTGCTTCTAACTGGTTATTAGCAGATTTTTCATTGATTTTTGTCATTTGTCATTGAAAAAGGTCTTTGTGGAACGGGTCCCTGGAAGGAAAGGTGAATGGTAGACAGGGGACGAGGTAGACCAAGAACAGACTGGTTAAATAACATATTCAAATTAATGGATATTTTTTATACTGGGGACCTAGTGACAAGTTATTCCATTAACCTGTTATAAGTGAACAACAACACATGGAATCTACTCTGCATACATTACTTGTTGCTATGTCAGGCAAGCCATGGGCAAGCTATCAGGTTGTCAAAACAACCATCGTTTCAAAAGTATGCATACAATTTACAGGTCTACTGGGATGGTGTCATGTGTCAGACAAGATATGTGACAATTTTTTTTGAAGAAGGCTCAAGATAGAGAGGGATTGAGAAAGAAGAACCAAATGGCACTGTGCCTTGTTTCATAAAAATAGCTTACAACAGTTATTGGAACTTGTTATTGCTAACTGGTTTAATGAAACAGGGCCCAAATGGTAAAACTAAATCAGAGCATACCTTAGGTTTGATTTTGGAGACCTCTAAGGTGAAGTACACACAGGCAGTGGCTCGAGGGACAGGTTTTCTCCGGGTAGGAATGCTCCATCGGACCTGGTAGCGATACTTCTTGCAATACTTGTCATCTTCCTCTCTCAGGAAATCAATGCAGTATAACCAGCTGTTGTCGTACTCCCAGGTCTAAGATGGGTGGGAAGAGGAAGGATACAATAACAAGTAAAATATATGCTGGTTACATAACATTGGGAAATTGTTTGTTTATTCTATATGTACACAAACAGTGTTTTTCATATGGTCAAAGGTACCAAGCTCTATTAGCATTCATGCTATTCCAATATACCTATTGTTATGTGTTTATAATTGGATAATAACATTCAAGTTGAAGTTCAAGTTTAAAATGATTCAAGATTAAAAATTCATGGTAAGATGATAGAGAAGTCTGATTTCCATTGGCTTGACATCAATTAACATTAACAAAATAAGGTACAAATTATGTACTGAGATTCAGAAGGGCATTAGCACTGTAATTTATAGTCAATGAATAAACTTTCTTCTAATAGAAGAAACTAATAATAATATCTAATCGTCTTTTGTAAGATTTTTCCAACAATCGGTGAAAACCTAAATCTGGACAGAAAGCATTTATGTTCTATATCAAAAGGATCAAGAAGTTCAAAGCATCTAAAGCCAGTTTGTGATGCAAATAATAAAAACCTAATTTTCATGGAACTTAGGGTTTTACATTCATGCAATTGTATGTAATAAAACCAATTTGTGATACAGTGTACATGATAAATGTAGTTAAATATATCACATAACTTTTCTAATGTATGTTACTTTCAAAGGTGATCCCATGTTAAAATACAATTTTTGTTTAAAGTTTCATATTAAAAGTCCTAAAATACAGTCAAACCTGCTTTAGTGACCACCTGTCTACAAAGACCACCTGTCTACAGCAAGCACATTTGTTGTTTCCCTTGAAAATGGTTTCTCATTGGAACATGTACTAAAGGAACCTGTCTACAAAGACCACCTGTCTACAACAAGCACATTTTTGTTTACCTTGGGTGGTCGCTGTAGACAGGTTTGACTGTATATGCAAAATATAAGAGAACTACCAACTAGATAGAAATTGAGATTATAGCAACAAGCAGAAGATAGACCAGAAAATCGGACTGCAGGAATGGCTGCATTTTCCCCAGGAGATCCGGTAATAAGAACGTAATAATGAAAGGATATCTATACCTTTACAAATTCATCCAACTTCGTAGTTCCCAGGTCAATATTAAATTCTTCAATTGTCATCCACTCTATGTTCGGTATCTCATACTCCTCTGTCTCCCTGTATAGCAAGCTATCATACGTCTTGATTTCAGATAGGGGACGACTCAAGCTCTCGGATGTGTCTCCTAGATCAGTGACGATCCGCTTCCGAGCATTGTCAATCACTCGATCCACGAGGGCATGGGCCTGAATCTCAAGCTCTGTATTGATGCCAGTCATTTTTTTCTTTATGCTGTAAAAAGAGAAAGGAAACAATGTTGTTTTTTGTTTGTTTAATTCACAAAAACAGATGAACAATACAAGTAGAATCTAATCATTGATTCACATAAAAGATAGAGAAAATGATCAATATACAAAAGTACAGGTTGTACCATTTGTAACAATTAATATTAATGATTAAAATCCACTTTGACAGATGAATAAATGGTTTTTGAACATTGTTTACTACTCAAATTGCACAAGAAATCAAATCTTGAAGAATGAAGTTTACCGGTAATGGAAAAATAAATAACAACATCAAGACAATTGAGGAGGAACAAGAAGTCGGAGAAGCCAGGAAAAGGAAATGGAAAAAGACAAAGTAGGTTGAGAATAACAATAAGAGGAAGAACAGATGAATAACAAGATGGAGGATATATGAAGGAAAAGGAAAATAGAAGATACAAATTAAACTTAAAGAATAAAAGAAGAAGCTGAAAGGGGAAGGAGAACAAAAGAAAAGGAAGAGCAAGATTCAAGAAGGGAAAGAAAACAAAAAACTAGTATTTGAGAAGACAGATGGATCTAGATCTAAACACACAACTCAACAGCAGATCTCTGCATTTTTCCAGTACACCCGGTAATAAGTAATTTGGTAATTAGAAGAAAACTGAAAAAATCGATAATTCAAGAAGAAGAAAACCAACCGAAGAATTTGACCTCAACTTCAGTTCAACATTCAATTTCAAAATTCAAGTCAAGAACTGTCTTGAAGAAGAAGAAAAAGAAAGGAGCAAAGTCTATTTGACTTTAAGTTTTCCTTTCTAAATATGAAAAACGAACACGAAAATATTATTCTAGACGACTGGATCTAGGTGGATCATAATCTAGATCTTTTCTTGTAAGTAATGGCTAAATGGTTTCACACCTCCACTCGATTTTGAGATCTATTTTTTGGCATAGGGTCTAGTAATTTGACAATTACACCATTAAGAACATATGGGACTGCACTGGCTAATTGAAAAAGTAAAATTTACGACCATGGAAAATACATGTTTTAAATATGTTTCAATGATAAAAACACGAATTAAACAGCCTCATCACGGATATCTAAAATGAAAGCCACGGGAAAATTCTTACAAAGTAGCCTAATGTTGCACATTAGGCTGAAAAAAGTGAAAATAAAGCGACAAAAATGCCATACCTTTCCAAATAGTGTTGACAATGGTTGCTGGTAACAACGTTGCCAATCGGTCAGAAAATTCTACATTTAGAAAGTAACAATCACATCATTTTCATACTAAAAAAAACAACTTAAAATGCAAGTTATTATTTTTTAAATTAATGTTTGCTACATATAACTTATTATTATTTTTGAATTCATAAATTAAACTTTTATTTCCTTTTTGTACGAGGATAAAAAGCAGTCGACGGGCTAAAATCTTAAAAATCCAGGAAAATCTCCGTTGAAAATGGCCTCTTCTCTGATAATGCAGCTAAATTCTAGGTAAGTGTACTCGATAATTCGAATTATATATACAAGAATACTCATCTGTAATGCTTTGGAAATTAATTAGTCATGAGTTAGTAAAGTTCATTAGATTTTACCTGCGTACCAGCATTTTATATGTAGACCCACATGCCCAAATTTGTGTGTGGTTTGTGACTGTTTAATTCATCCAATATAATGCATGGGAATTGGGAAACATTGTTGATTGATGAAGGAAATCATGGTGAATTGTAGACCGAATTTTCTGTCTCTTTCGTTCGTTAGCCTCTTATTGGGGTAGGGTCGGCCGGCTCTCTCTTTAGAGACGGAAACCGTCTAGACCTAGATCTAGATCTATAGACTACACATTCCCTTGATAACGCCACGGCCATTTCAGGTCGTAGCGTTTTGCCCCCCAAATCCCCCAAAATGTCATTTTACATCGTGTATATCCAAATGTAAATTAGGCCTAGGCTATAATACATCGGTTCCACTTACTAACTTGATTGAATAATCCGTTTAATGGTCCCTTTTAAGGAAATTATGGGTCAAAATCGACATCCATGTTGAAAATCTTGCAAGCCGTGTTAAACTCTCGCTGCCGGAGTCATCTAAATCAATCTCATCCCTTCTAGTCGACGCCGAAGGCAAAAATAATTATGAAGGAAAAACTGTGATAACGCCATTACGAACGTGTAGATGGCGCACAGTTTTTTTTTTTAGTTGTCCGTCTTCCTAATAGGGTGTCTGATCGCGCACCCGATGTTGTGTGCTAAAATTCTTCCCATAGAGATTACACGTGTAGCGGCTCTTACATTCGCCCTACTTACATTCGCCCTACTTTCACCGTACATGCATGTCTCCAGTATTTTTCCATCACGGTACTTATTTATATTCATTATTCGGACCACGTGTGTTCATTCCTCCAATCGAGCATCGTGGTTCCGCGCACCGTTCCCCCGCGTATTTTCAACTCCACGAGGTTTTTCTCCACTCCCGCTTTCACCTTGGTCGAGTCAAGACGTCTCCGCAATTTCCTCTCCAGGCTGTATTCTTCTGTGCCTGTCGTCTATTTTACGGCACGTCAACTCTTTTTCTGCCGTGTTCATCGGGCTGCAGTCTCCCAGTGGAACGTTATAGTCAGGACCGACATGGCGCCTGACTCTCCGCTGGGAGCTGCCAGTTTCTTCGTTCCGGTAGCTCTTTCCACTCATGAGCTCATCATTTCACCGCAGCTCATCTAAACATTTCTTCATCCGGCGCATCAAAGTCCGGCGCATCAAACGAGCAACATTTACTACTCAGCACCAGTGCCGGCTTTGCATGTCTACATTTCTACTTGCCTCCGACATCAAGCGATTCACTGCTTCGTCGTCGAGCGCCACATCTCTTCTCTTCTCTTCTCTTCTCGCCTGAGAGCTTCAACCACATCTTCATCACGGACGTCAGCGTCGAGATTCTTCACGGCTCTTCAGCCACGACAACGAAGTTACATCTCCGCCTCTTCAAGCCTCCGCACATCATCGCGTGAGCCCCTTCCTTCGTTTTCATCTCTCTTCATCTTCATTGGACTTTCGACGCCATTTCTATTCTGTCGTAAGCTTTCATTCATTAATGTCCATTTACCTTTTTATGTCATGATGTAGTACGTTCACCAATTTTATCTCTAAAGTGGTGACCCCTCGTTTACTTTGAAGCTTGGTTGTACGGATTTATTATTCCCAGACTTTTTGGACTTAGCAATGTTTTATAAAATGTCTTCATTCTGGATTATGTATTGAATGTTTTTTTATGCTCTTGCATTTATACACGTTTATTCGATGCATACCATGACATTCATTACTGTTCTATTTTTGGCAACTAAACAGCCGTTCGCATACCATGCTTGTTGTTTACATTTTTTCAACATGCCATGCTTGTACATTTCTTAGGCTGTTGTAAATTACTGCATACACTATATTATACAATACATGCACTTTTACATTTTTATCAGCCATTGATTCTTGTGACATTTTGTACTTTGCTCATCTATATCTTTTTCGTCTCTCATCTGTGTATTGCATACACAGCTTCAATTCTGGCAGGGGAGTAATGTAGCGGCTCTTACATTCGCCCTACTTACATTCGCCCTACTTTCACCGTACATGCATGTCTCCAGTATTTTTCCATCACGGTACTTATTTATATTCATTATTCGGACCACGTGTGTTCATTCCTCCAATCGAGCATCGTGGTTCCGCGCACCGTTCCCCCGCGTATTTTCAACTCCACGAGGTTTTTCTCCACTCCCGCTTTCACCTTGGTCGAGTCAAGACGTCTCCGCAATTTCCTCTCCAGGCTGTATTCTTCTGTGCCTGTCGTCTATTTTACGGCACGTCAACTCTTTTTCTGCCGTGTTCATCGGGCTGCAGTCTCCCAGTGGAACGTTATAGTCAGGACCGACATGGCGCCTGACTCTCCGCTGGGAGCTGCCAGTTTCTTCGTTCCGGTAGCTCTTTCCACTCATGAGCTCATCATTTCACCGCAGCTCATCTAAACATTTCTTCATCCGGCGCATCAAAGTCCGGCGCATCAAACGAGCAACATTTACTACTCAGCACCAGTGCCGGCTTTGCATGTCTACATTTCTACTTGCCTCCGACATCAAGCGATTCACTGCTTCGTCGTCGAGCGCCACATCTCTTCTCTTCTCTTCTCTTCTCGCCTGAGAGCTTCAACCACATCTTCATCACGGACGTCAGCGTCGAGATTCTTCACGGCTCTTCAGCCACGACAACGAAGTTACATCTCCGCCTCTTCAAGCCTCCGCACATCATCGCGTGAGCCCCTTCCTTCGTTTTCATCTCTCTTCATCTTCATTGGACTTTCGACGCCATTTCTATTCTGTCGTAAGCTTTCATTCATTATGTACATCGCATTTATTCATGTTCATTCTCACCCTTAATCATTATGTAATCTTCGTGCAATATTCACATTTTCAAGTCTGCTACTTTTGCTTGACTGCACTTTGCAAGTGCATTGTCAGCTTTGTTCAGTACCCAATAAATTAACGAAAAGGGAACATTTTCTTTCTTGTATTTTATTGTCAGTGCAACCTTGTTTCCTCGTAGCTAAAATAAAAATAAGAGTTATGTTGTGTGACGAGTGAACACGCTCTCAAATATCCATTCACAATACCTCACACTCATATCTCTAAACACGCATCCCTATGCAGTCTACGTGCATTGCGCGACCATGCAAAAAAAGTCAATTTTTTTTTTTCAATTCAAGATTCAAACCTTTATCTGTTGTGATCCTGAAGGTGATACTCAATAAATGAGGTGTCATATGAAAGAGCAGGTAAATTCCAATATTTCCAAAGGGGCGTAGCCCCCGAAATTCTAAAAATATCTTGGTCAAAGCAGCAATTGAAACATTGTGTCCTAGCTAACTCTGAGGTTTGTCACTTTTGAGATATGATGCCCCGATCGATAAGTAGTCCCAGTCCTTAGGAACAATTCTATGTGCTTATTTTTTCGCTAGCCCCCAGGGATCAAAACTGATAACAGTTTAAAAATACCCTTCTCGCTATTTGGTGGATCAGCTAATTAGGGGGCGTGCGCTCCGCTCAGTCCAAACCATGGTTACATCGCGTAACATCTCCGCGTACGAACGAAACCCCAAATTCAATTACACATTAGAGTGAAAGAAAGTATGGGTGGCCATTCGCGGCATAGAACCCGGAAGTGAATACACGTTATAGTCAATGGCAATATCGCGGAGACATCTCCGCGATATTGCCATTGACTATAACGTGCATTCACTTCCGGGTTTATTGTGCGACGAACGCCAACCATACTAGTCAATGGCACATGTCGCGGAGACAGCGTAGCTCAAGCTGCAAGTCGCGGATTGGCTTAGCAGCATGCGTACGATATGCATACGCTTGCATATCGCGCGATACAGCTGTTTGGCTAAATTTAGCAAAACAACATCACTCTGCGTGGACGTCTTTTTCGTCGATTTTGACCAAAATGATATGAATATACCAGCGTTTTGGAGGGGCTGTAACTTTTGATAGAAACATCGGTGAGACTTGAAATTTGAAATGTATTATTCTGATAACATTTTTTTATTCAAATATCAAACAAAAATGGTGAAAAACGATCCCAAATTGAAAATTGAAAAATCGTTCAGACACCCTATTCCTAAGGATTTATCGTTCATAATGTGAAAGTTTCTGTTTATACATGCATCATGATTCATAGAGCATTGTCAAGGCACTGATCGGTAACCCTAGAAATAGAAAGGCCTAGAAGTCCGTGAAAATGTTGCCGATCCTTATTCACGGACCAGGGCCCCTACTGATAATGAATAAAAAGTAAAAGAAAACTGCAAATGTAATTATAAATATTTAAGCGTAAAATTAATAGTCTGGTCGACATCTAAATTTGAAGATGTAGAGGGCATATTAGTTTTTTTGTTTTTTTTAACCCAGAGCAGTTCTTTGTCTCCTTTTAATTTAATTTAGTGAGATTTGTGTAATATACCGGTATGCTTTTATCTAGACTGCCTTGAACTACTCATGTCATGATATTAATACATTGAAAACAAATATTAGAGTCTCTAAATTGCTCATCAATATGGATTGAAAATTAAGATTACCATTTTCATTTTCATTTTCATTATTTTCATATATAAATTCGCAACTGATTTGTTATTTGTTTTTGTAATTTTTATTCACAGAGGTTCATGTGATATTCATTTATATTTGTCTTAAAAAAATAAGATGAAAATATGTTAATGATTAGTGTTGATTCCAATTTATGCAAATAGTTGCCAAACCACATCTGTCTGTTTGTTGTTGTTTTTTTTTAATTTTCACCTGAAAATGAAAATTCTCTGAACATTACCACTGCCTAATGGTAGAGATACCAACAGAACTATTATCAAATAATTACATTGCATGAAATTGCCTTTTGGATCTTTTGGGAAAATTCTGAATCTTTATGAGTTAAAAAATATAGTCTGCAAGTAGAGATCAACATGTACAGTAATATGACACTTTATCACAATTCCTAAAGCCTTGAGCAGAGCCTAGATTTTTATAGGTAAGTCAAGATGTGGCTGTGTTAAATTCAACCTTAATAATAAAGTACTCTCGAGAAAAAAGCAAAACAATCCGAAAATGGACTGATATATCAGACAAAAAATGAAAGTTGTAATCACTTTTGGTATGGGCTCTTCAAATTGGCTGAATCTGTAATGTTTCTGCGATGTAGTGGCATACAACTTTCCCATTTGTTCCAATATATATTTTAGTAGTGCACCAGAAATTAATGATAATTTTGTACACGACAAATGGCAGAGTTATCCTCGATGTTGTCACAATCCACTGACCAAACTGCAAATTTGAGATTTGTATCGATTTAGTTCACTCATATTTCAAGCATTGAATTGCCCTTTAAAGAAAATTTTATAGAACTGTTTTTTTTTGTACTGTTCTGATTTCTTCCAAAGTCCATGCACGCACATATCGAGTCAACTCATCAGCAATGTAATCTGTGTGTGTGTGAATTAAAGTTTCATGTTCCTCTTTCTCTCTCCCTCTCTCTCCCTCTCTCTCTCTCTCTCTCTCTCTCTGTCTCTCTCCCTCTCTCCTCTCTCTCTCTCTCTCTCTCTCTCCCTCCCCCCCTCTCTCTCTCTCTCTCTCTCTCTCTCTGTCTCTCTCTGTCTCTCTCTGTCTCTCTCTCTCTCTCTTGGTTAGTTAGATTAATAGTTAGCCTGCAGTAATACATGTCACCTGGAAAGTAAACATCAAAGTACATGCCATCTGCAAATAATACAATTTTTGAATAGTGACACATGAACACAAGTGCTTTCCTATCATATCTTTAATCATGTAAAGTGCATAGAAATATCAACATGTAATATGAATGATTTACAGACTTAAAAGAGGTCAAGAGAACCAGGAATGAACTTTAAAAAAATAATTGTATCCCAGTATGAAATTAATTTTGGTTATAAATCATGACTTATAACTTTCTATTGACTTTTGTGGAATAGTCATCTGTTATTTGCACATAATATTCTAATATGAATTTTGTTTCTCTTTTTGTTTTCTAGGTTATGTACCCAGTATTGCACAAAGATTCTTTGTGGCTTTATGAGTCTAAATTTGGAAGTTAGATTAAATCTAAATCAATTTAATCAAAATAAGTGACTTTGTTTTTTATATATTTATATATACTTTGGGAAATTGAATGGAAAGTTTTGAACGTGTCTTATACCATTTCAGTTCTTTAGCTGGAAGCATTCTAGACTGTTAATTTGTCAGTATATTTTATTAACTTGCTTGAACCAAATTGTAATATGTCCCATTATTTGTAATGTTATATATTTTCGTTCTGTTTCAACCTTTCTGCAGAAAATTTGCTGAGTTGACGAGAAAGTTAGGATGGCAAGCTGGGTGTTTATCGAGATCAGGTAAACAGATTAATTAGTCTTCAAAATTTCATCACAGATGAAATCACTCATTCCCATATAAGCTATACAGGGACCACCCGGTTCCTGTACATGTATATTATTATGAATCAAATTTGAATTATGCATTATCGCATTTTGTGTTACCTATGTTCAAGTCAAATGTACTATTCTGTATTCATTTGTGTCTTATTGATGTTTATAATCTGTAATCTTGTACTGACGTGCAAACGAAACAAATTTCCAAACATTGGACAATAAATTTTAATTGAATTTTGAATTGAGTTGAATTGAGACTGACATACTGTATGATATAGTGGCAATTTTTTATATTTTTGAGGGGATGCATGTTCTTGGTCCTATGCATGCTGAATTGATGATCATTTCTATGATTGCTTCTGACAGATCTAACAGAACAAATTGTAATCACTTTCATTTTTGTTTCAATTACCTTTGAGTGTTACTTATCTTTCTGGTCAAACACATACTGCTGGTGAAATCTATTTTTCAACCTCTCACTTCCTACAGTTTTCCTCAAAACTTGAGCCAGAGTAGAGCCTACCGTACATGTATGTGCTCACAAATCTATCTAATTTTCATTCTAGTTTCTACAGCGTCTATCAGCAAGGTTCTGATAGCCAACCGTGGTGAGATCGCTTGCCGTGTAATCCGTACAGCTAGAAAGCTTGGTGTTAAAACAGTAGCAGTCTACAGTGATGCAGACAGGAACTCAATGCATGTTGCCATGGTAAATAGATATTCAAGGTTTCATTATATATGATATCTGTGAATTTATCATAATTTGAATTGGCTATTATATGTTTGTCAAGAAAATAAATTGTTAGAATTGTATTAGTGATTACAGTTTCCTCTTTAGAAGCAGCAACATGAGAGCATGAGAAATACTGAAGTTTCGTTTTAAAGCAGAAATTCTAATGGACAATTTTTATATTCACATTTGATAGTCACACTACTTACATTGTGATCCTAAAGAGTAATGTATAACAGAAATGGATTAAATAATGTTAAATAATTTTTCATTGATTTTTGCTGATTTTTGTGATTAGTTAATGTGATGTGACCTTTAAATGACACTGAACTGATGTGTCAAGAAGGTAAAGTGAATAGACTTTGATACAAATCATCTCATTTTTGTTATTCAATATCTTTAAAGAAGTGTTACAATTGAATATATCTATTGTAAATGTTTGAAGTGTATCATCATTACAGAAACTTGTCTTCTGGCAGCCAAAAGGCATTTAACTCTTATGTACATGTATGAGTCAAAACCCCTATTGCTTCGCAGTAATTATTACACTAACTAAATTATCAACGTCAACCCCCCCCCCCCCCCCCCCCCCCCCCGGACTTACCCTAGACCTAACCTAACCCTAACCCTGTACTTATGAGGAAATAATATCTGGAGCAGTTGTTACCAGAGAAACTGGGGGATCCCCAACCCATGACATATTTCAATTCCTTCACCATGTTTTTTCATACCTCTCTTTTCGTGTTATTTTGAATACCAGGCTGACGAAGCCTATCATATAGGACCAGCTGCTTCTCAACTCAGTTACCTCAACAAACAGAAGATCATAGAAGTAGCCAAGGCATCGGGTGCCCAGGTGAGTTATTTGTCCTTTCAGTTTCCATCTCTTAAATGTAACTTGTAATTAAACATATAAATTACAGAACTAATTCAACCAACGTATTGGAATATAATTTTGAATTAACGCCGTTTACTGGCTCTATAAAACAGAAGATTATAGAAGTAGCCAAGGCATCAGGTGCCAAGGTGAGTTATTTTGATTTGATTTAATTTCTGCCTTTTTCCAAATGCAATAACTGAATAACAAAGAACATGTATAATACAAATATACAAACAATAATAACTTTATGTCAAAATGTGATTTTGTACATATAATAACGAACTTAATATTTCTATAACACATGATTTGAATTTAAAGTATTATCTGAACCGCAATAGGATGGCGATAAATGGCAACTGTTTATAAGACGGGCCACCGATATACCAAAGTATTCTTTCTTGTATTACTTTATAACTTTATCTATACTATACTCTATCTACTCTATAACCAAACTATGATTGAAAATGTACAGTCATAAAGATCTTTTGAAAATACCCAGTATCTGAAATACTTGTGCGTAAATCGTACTTTGACTTGATGTCTGTAGGCTATCCACCCTGGATATGGTTTCCTATCAGAGAATACAGAGTTTGCTGACCTCTGTGATAAGGAAGGGGTCATCTTTGTTGGACCACCATCTTCAGCCATCAGGGATATGGGCATAAAGAGGTAAGTTTGTTTAGTCATTTTCAAGATCGGGTGAAAAAAGCAGCTATTAAACGTGATGGAATACATACCATCTTCATTATATAATTGTCTTGTGTATATTGAAGAGATTTAGGCTCTGTGTTTAATATCTTTAATTTAAACCATGCAATCTTGGAGAAGAGTAGGCACTTAAACCAGCTAAAAATATGCTATTTTACGTTTTTGTAAGAAGAATAAAAAGGATAACATACACTGATAAGGTTTTAGTGCTACTAAAAAGAAATCTATACCTGTGGAAGTATGCATTTTTCATTTTTGGAGGGTTACAGACAGTGGCGTAATGAGCAAAAACGTTTGGGGGGGCTGACCAAAAAAAAATCGCAGCACCCCACTCTAACATGCAGACCCCGCTGAACGTTTCGCAAAGTGGGGTCTAGGGGCAAAGCCCCGGCTAGGGCCAAGGGGCAGAGCCCCCGAAGCTCAAGTGGTATGGGCGTCAGTGGCGGATCCAGGAATTTCTTACTGGGGGGGGGGGGGGGGGACACAAAATGGAATGGGGTTTAATATATGTAACACGATGAAGCGACAGAGCGAGGCTTAAGCAGCGAGGAAGCGGAGCGACCAAGCGGGGGTGGGTCAGAGTAAGAAGCATTTGCAATTTTAGAACCAAATTAAACGCATTTTCAGGCACTTCCTGGAGTAATAATTATGACGTCAAATTGCTTTCTCCTACCCCTTCCAGGAGTAGGGATCTTTTGCGATTTGAGAAACACATTTGGCGCATTAATGTCCACAGGTACTTCCTGGAAAAAATCGAGGCCTTCTGATTGGTTAGAAGTTAGAGAAAAGTGATCTGTCACATCCTGAGACGTTGTATATGCTTTGATAATAAATAAATTATTACTCTTAATCCTTCTCTGAATTCATTTTCGCCCATCCCGCGCGGAAGCTTTCACGTTTCATTAAATTATTAGAGAAAGAAGACGATTCGTTATATCGTGTTTTTGTCTGAATTCAGTTTCCCACTCCCGCGCGAAGCGCGGAAGCTTTGACACTTCATTAAATTATTAGAGAAAGAAGACGATTCATTGTACCAGTTCCGACTGTTAATCCTTGTCTGAATTCATTTTCGCCCATCTCGCGTGAAGCGCGGAAGCTTTCACGTTTCATTATATTATTAGAGAAAGAAGACGATTCGTTGTATCGTGCTTTTGTCTGAATTTAGTTTCCCCCCTTCCGCGCGAAGCGCGGAAGCTTTGACACTTCATTAAATTATTAGAGAAAGAAGACGATTCATTGTACCGGTTCCGAATCTTAATCCTTGTCTGAATTTAATTTCGCCCATCTCGCGCGAAGCGCGGAAACTGACGTTTCATTAAACTATTACTCTTAATCCTTGTCTGAATTCATATTCGCCCACCCGCGGGAAGCGCGGAAGCTTTCACATTTCTCATTAAATTATCAGAGAAAGAAGAAGATTCGTTGTATCGTATTCTTGTCTGAATTCAGTTTACCCCCCCCCCCCCCTCCTGCGCAAAGCGCGAAAACTTTGACACTTCATTAAATATTATTATTAAAGAAGGGAAACGATTCGTTGTACCGTTCTCGACTCTTAATCCTAGTCTGAATTCAGTTGCCCCCCCCCCCCCCCCCGAAGGGCGAAAGCTTTGCCGTTTCATTAAATAATTAGAGAAAGAAGACGATTCGTTGAACTGTTCACTACTCTTAATCTTGTTTGAATTCAATTTCCCCAATGGGCCCCTTAACGGTATATGTGCAGTGTTACATGATGTAAGTATGGAACGCCCGGCCGTGCTTGTCACAGTTGCTTGTAGAAAGGATTTTTTTTTTACTAGTGTTACTGTTAGTGGCCACGGCCCCTTAGTGACTATAAAAAAACATTTGTTCTTCCTGGTCATTTGGGAATGTGACAGTTCGCAACAGAAATGGAGAAACGCGCATTTTGTTGAAAATCATGTGATTTCACGAACATTTATACATCACTTGTATATGGAATTGAAAATAAGTCATGGTTCAATTTTATTTGTACAATTATACATCACTTGTATATGGAAGCCCAAAGCCCCCCCCCCCCCCCACCAGTACACCAGTGGTTACAGACATGAATACAGGCTAGCATTCTTTCTCTAGCTCTCTTTCTTTATTCCCTCTCTCCCTCTTTTAAATTGCAGAGAATAAGTAAATTCTTACCTATATAGAGACTTATATGACTTAAAATCATAATGATTACCAATGTCCTGTGTACTTTCTAATCTCAGCACATCTAAGCACATCATGTCAGCAGCTGGCGTGCCAATCATTGAGGGTTACCATGGCGAGGACCAATCAAAAGAGAGATTGAGACAGGAGTCTGAACGTATAGGATATCCAGTCATGTTGAAGGCCGTCAGGGGTGGAGGAGGAAAGGTGAGTTCACTCTTCAAACCTCATGTTTGTGTTTATCAGTACTGCTGATTGCTGGTAGAGATGAAGGTGACATTCTTCTGAGGATTTTTTTAAAGGTAGTGTAGCACGACAAGACTACGTGGCCTGACTCGCGGCCAATCGGTATAATATGACTACAGACGACGCGACCGCAGTATTCACGTACGTGGAACATACGCGAAAACGAAGCGTGAGGAGAACTTCGGTCTGTTTCGCGAATGCTAGCGGGCACTGACCGTTAATCAAGTCTATTTGTTTATGTGCAGTTGTCCAAAAGAAATCGTAGATGGCATAAACCAGTATTTGCCATGCTACACCCCCTTTAAAACTGTATATTCTTTTCTCATCTGGATTTATATCCATGTGATAGCATTGCAACATGTTGTTTGTTTGTTTTACCTGACTGCTAAGAAAGCATGTGTATGCTTGTGAGAAAGCAACCAAGGGACCGACAGCTTTGAGTCCTCTCTGAGGGACTTGGTGATGAGAATAAAATGCCTTACCCCCCAAAATAGCGTGCAATATTGGAAGAATATTGCATGCTGATTCATCATCGGTGGAGCGATGTAACCTACGGAAGAAAAGCAGTATGCTAACAATATTAAACTTGATCAGACAAACGGAATCAAATATATGATTTATTCTCTTGGAACACAGGCTCGTAGTATAATAATTCTTAATGTTGTTAATGTAGCATAAAGATAATTTTTGTGCAATTTCCTCTGTTATTACTTGCAGAGTCCATGAATAGAAATTGATCAAAACATTTCTTTGATGTGTTTCTCTATCATAGGGTATGCGTATTGTGATGACAGCGGCGGATTTTGATGAAGCCTTAGATTCAGCTATGCGAGAGGCCAAGAAATCTTTTGATGATGACATCATGCTCGTTGAAAAGTATGTCGAGACCCCAAGGTAAGGAGTGACCTTCGACCTTCGACCTCCAGTGAAAAAGTTTGATACAGACTGCTTTCCAGTGTGCCTGAGAAAAAAGAAAGGTTATTCAGAGCAGTTCAACAAAGAACAAACTAATGAGCAATTCTGTGGCATGATTCTTTTTAATATAGACATCTTCATACTTATAAATGTCTTAATGAGATACATAAAACACTTTAATAATGGATTAAATTAATCATAGCCGTACTGGCTTCAAAGTGTATAGATAGGACTCAGAGGAATCACTAGGAATTTGTGGTTTTATGCATTTTGTCTAATAAGGAAGAAATCTAAACACCTCCAAGGCTGTAAATCATGTAATAATTAAATAGAGATTGATGTAAAATATCATTTTAATTCTTTACAGATGTGAAATACTATGTACCCAAGTAATGAAGCACTATTTTTTCCTTTTTGAAAAACAGGCACGTTGAAGTACAGGTATTTGGAGACAAACACGGAAACTATGTGTACCTGTTTGAGAGAGATTGCAGTGTACAGAGGAGACATCAGAAGATTATTGAAGAAGCACCAGCAGTAAGTAGACAGGGAAAGGGGAGGGGGAGATAGAGTAAGAGAGAGGAAAGAGAGAAGGTGAGAGAGAGGGGGAGAGTAAGAGGGAGAGATAGACAGAGGCAGAGAGACAGAGATAGGGGGGGGGGGGCACAAGATGGGAATAGATCAAATAGGGGTAAACAGATGTAAACAATTTTGTATCCCCTCATAATAGATGGCCCCCAATCTGGGATATCAACTGAGCACCTTTGTTTAAATCCATTTAGTGTCGAAATTGGGATTTTACAGATGTGTATCAGTGTGATCTACATGTCGTTATTTACACCCAGGTATAATAATAATAATAATAATATGGTTATTTATATAGCGCCGGTATCCGTCAGGTTCTGACCCTCATGGCGCTTTACACATATTACCCTATACTATCAACATCCTAAAGACGTGATGTAGGATCAAACCCAGGATTGTTCTACATGTATGTACCAAATTACAGACTGCTAGGCCAATCCCGACTCACACCTGCCTTCTATATAGCAGACAATGAAACAATGCCATTAGCCTCACTATTAACCCATTGACTACTGAATTCTCTCATTCCCATAGGCTTAACACAGGGACCACCAGGTTCCAGTAAGCAATGGGTTAAATGCGTACAATCTTCTTGTTTTTTCTAGCCTCATCTGTCAGAAGAAGTAAGGAAGCAGATAGGAGAAGCAGCAGTGCAGGCAGCCAGGGCTGTCAACTATGTAGGAGCAGGTGAGCTACAAAACAATGCTTAGAAGGGGTCAGGTGTCCAGTTATTTAGTTGACTATTTAAAGCCCCACTGTACTACGTATAGCTACTTGCGCCCTCTATATAGCAAACAATACCCAATCGGTGCCTGTTGGTCCCCATGAGCCTCTTTTCTTATGTTAATTGAGAGCTGATTTGATGAGATAACCCCCTGTCAGTGACCTTGCATGGAGGTCTAATCCCCCCTGGCCAAACTAGTGTAGACAGACTTTAAAGAGAATTCAAGTTCAGGAAAAGGTGAAAAAATACCCCCAAATTTGTGAGCTTTCTCACTCTTTGTATACTCATGTGGAAGAAGAATAAAATTGTTGAAACTTCCTCTTCTGATGCTCTGATATATGAGATATAGCAACAAGTAGCTTAAAAGTATATATAATTACCCCGGCCATCAAATTCAGGCTTGCCTGCCCTCAATGTATGCACATTATCCACTCCCTGGGGAGCATTTCATTTTACAGATGCTCACAATGCTGAGCCAACTACATGTACATTACATTGGCATCCTACCAGGTACACATTTAATAAATGGGTGGAGACTGGAGAGTGGCAAATGTAGATTAACATCTTGCCAAGGGACGTTAGTGCTGGGCTGGGCTGGGATTTGAACCCCTTACATTGTGATCTACAGTCCGGTAACTTATCCACTAGACCACAACACCTCTATGAAGTATTTGATTATCTTTTCCCAGGTACTGTAGAGTTTATCATGGATGCCCAGCAGAAATTTTACTTTATGGAGATGAACACTAGACTTCAAGTAGAGCACCCTGTCACAGAGATGGTTACTAAGACTGATCTAGTGGAATGGCAACTAAAGGTAAGAATACATTGCATTCCTTTCCCTGTCTCTGTCTGTCTGTCTGTATGTCTGTCTGTCTGTCTATCTATCTATCTATCTGTCTGCCTGTATCTGTCATCAGAGAGATGGTTTCTAAAACTGATCTAGTGGAATGGCAAATAGAGGTAAGAATGCATTGTCTTCCTTTCCCTGTCTCTGTCTGTCTGTCTGTATGTCTGTCTATCTATCTATGTATCTATCTATCTATCTGTCTGCCTGTATCTGTCATCAGAGAGATGGTTTCTAAAACTGATCTAGTGGAATGGCAAATAAAGGTAAGAATACATTGTATTCCTTTCCCTCTCTCTGTCTGTCTTTCTGTCTGTCTGTTTGTCTGTCTGTCTGTCTATCTGTTTGTCTATCTGTATCTGTTGTCACAGAGATGGTTACTAAAACTGATCTAGTGGAATGGCAACTCAAGGTATGAATACATTGCCTTCCTTTCCCTCTTTCTGTCTGTCTGTCTGTCTGTCTGTTTTTGTCTGTCTGTATATGTGTCACAGAGATGGTTACTAAGACTGATCTAGTGGAATGGCAACTCAAGGTATGAATACATTGCCTTCCTTTCCCTCTTTCTGTCTGTCTGTCTGTCTGTCTGTTTTTGTCTGTCTGTATATGTGTCACAGAGATGGTTACTAAGACTGATCTAGTGGAATGGCAACTCAAGGTATGAATACATTGCCTTCCTTTCCCTCTCTCTGTCTGTCTGTTTGTCTATCTGCGTAATAATCAAATTGCAAATGATACAACTCTGATCTTCACAATTTTTGAAGTTTCTTGAAGTGGAATGGCAGTCATTTACAGCCTGTGCAGTTTCATGTCGCGAAAGTTCCTGGTTTTACAGAAGAAAAAAATATGTAATCAAATCATTAATTAATAAACTCTCTATCCTCTTTCATACACAGGTAGCAGCAGGTGACCCCTTACCGGTGACCCAGGCTGACCTCCGGCTCCATGGACACTCCTTTGAAGCTAGAATCTATGCTGAGGACCCTGATAATAACTTCATGCCGGGCGCAGGTCCCCTCATCCATCTAGCTACCCCAGACGCTGATGAATCAATTAGGATCGAGACTGGTGTAAGGCAAGGTAGGAAATGCTTGGATAGGCTTCAAATGTGAAGTAGAATTGGGGATGTAGTGTAGATTACTACAACCATATTGAGAAAAAATTATACAGAGGTGGAGAATAATTACACTGTATTAAGGTCCAAAAATGAATCCGATGACTGAGTAATGATATTTGTAAAGCGCTTAGAGACGGTATTTCGTATTAAGCGTTATATATGAATCCAGATGATTGATGATAATGATAATTGTTATTTTTTCCTATTCTCTGTTGCTAGGTGATGATGTGACCCCCTTCTATGATCCTATGATTGCAAAGCTGGTCGTCTGGTCACATGACAGGAAGAGCGCTTTAGAGAAACTCAGGAAATGTCTTCACGACTACCAGGTGAGCAAGTCATCAAAGTCATCCAAACTTTATAATAAGTTCATTTGAATGAAAGCAGAAACATCAGAATGGCGATAGTTTGAAAGAATCCGGACCAATACTAATAAAGTTATGAGTGTTTGAAATTTGAGATCACTACAGCTATGCTAATTTCAAATTGGTAATTTTTTTAGTGGATTGCGACGTACACCTGTAGTGACAAATAACTCTCGCATTTATCGTGTACAAAAGTATCACTAAAAAGTACCTTCAGTCTCGGGGCACTTATACAAATATATTACAGAGATTATGTTATTACAGGTCCTCTAAAAAGAAAAGACATGGGCCATTGCAGCTAGGTATTTTTCCTTTTTTTTATTATCCCCATAAATATAGATTATAATTCTTTTTCTCCAATACAGATCGTAGGGTTGAAGACCAATATCAGATTCCTAGACGATCTAGCTAAGCATCCAGAGTTTGGCAAAGGAAACGTCAACACTGACTTCATTCCTCAGTACGAGAAGGAGCTGTTTCCTGAGCGGGGCGCTCTCAATGACCAAACACTGTGCAGGGCCGTCTTAGCTCTGGTACTCTATGAACAGAGATCTAGCAGCCTGGAAAGCCTTGAAGCCACTGGTAAGCTGCTTGATGTATAAGCATGGCCCTCCCAATTGCAGTTCACCGGATTCAAACGGCATTCAAATATATTTTGGACCCCGACATGTTTTTCCTGTCACAGATCAGAAACTCTTTCTTTTTTTTTTTCGTTATACATATTAAAGTTTAAGTCAACTGCAATTGTTTTCTTTCTTTCTTTTTTCTCTCGATGCATGCACATTTTCAAGTAAAGATAGATTGACTTCTCAGAGTTGTTTTTTGGCTACTTCTAATAATATGGCTGTAGAATTGTGATAGATGACTAAGAATCAAGTAGTATAATGATACCTATCAGAGAGTTATCCTCCTCTAAATTTCTTTTGTGTGTGTGTGTGTGTTTTGGGCAGATGTGCTACACACCTTTGTTGCCTAATATTCACCATATGTTTTTTGTTAACAGAATTGTTGATTTATAGACAACATGACTTTCCTCTGTACTATTAGCAGGTCATGTGGTGTGACCTCAGCATGATGTATCATTTTGCTAAGCGCTTGAATCATGTAACATTCAACAAAATGACTGAAGTGACATTGGAATTTTGAGATTTAAATGGGGACTAATGATATTTGTCATGGTGGTTTTTCTATCCCAGATCCGTTTTCGCCATACAGTCAGAGCAACGGACTGAGACTCAATGAAAACCTGTGCAGACGAGTGAAGCTCAACTCTGGAGAGACAGCTGTTGAAGCGACCATTACATACCATTCTGAACAAGGCTATTCGGTTCAGGTGAGACTGGGGGACAGGAGGGATAGGGGAGGGTGAGGAGGAATGAAGGGTATAAGATGATAGGAAAAGGAAACAGATATAGAGGTCATCATCACATACCATTCTGAGCAAGGGTACTCAGTTTAGGTGAGACGGGGGAATGGGAGGGAGAGGGGAAATTGTCAACATTACATCTTTATCATCACTATACTTAATGCATTCAAGGTTTCTTCACTTTATACTCTCTGATGTAAGATCAATTTGCCAATTTCGCTGAGTTCAGGAACATCACCTTGTTTAACCAATATTGAAACTTAGCTTTAATATCTTTTCTTTTATCGTATTTTATCTGTATAAGCATCTAAATGTTATCCCACCTACGTATCACGGTTGCAATAAACCTGTAAATTGTTAATTATCAAATTTCTATTTCATGTAAAACAAACAACAATTTTATATCATCAATGAAACTGTAAATCGTATTTAAATATACACAATATTTGTTAAGTGTTCTATATATTTTAATGTGTTATCAATGCAATGTTATGCCATGTATTTTTTTACTCTGTAAATTGAACAATTTCAGCTTTTAGCTGCATGTCCGATGATTTTTATCTCAATAAACCAATACAATACAATACAATACAATACAAAAAAAAATGGGAGGGAGAGAAGGAGGGTGGGAAGGGGGGAGAGGAAGGGTACACTGGCTACCCATTCACTCTCGCATTTTATTCAAAATATTGTTGTTAGCTTATGAATGTTTTTATGATTTTGCGCCTCCTTATTTGATTGAGCTATTAACATTGTACACACCTTCTAGAAATCTTCGTTCTAATAAGAAAAAATTGTTTGTTATTCCACCAGTGATGACCAGGTCATATGGTCAACGCAGCTTCGCTCACACTGCCTTAACTTCATGGAACAATCTCCCGGAACATCTAAAAAACATTGACTCTATTGTTAAGTTTAAGATTGCTTTAAAGACGCACTTATTTAACATTTAATTCATCCATTTTGTCCGTTACCCAGTATGTCTTGTCTTTGTATTCTGTTATGTTTTTTCTCTAGAGCGCTTAGGGACATGTTTTAATACTATGTGTTATGCGCTATACAAGAACGGTTAATTATTATTATTATTTAAGAGATGAGAGGAAAAGGATTCAGATATAGAGGCCATCATCACATACCATTCTGAACAAGGCTACTCAGTTCAGAAAAAGAGGCCTAAACAAATATGAACACCCAAAATGACCAGTATCGTACACGGTCAGAACTGACCGTAACAACCCAAATTTATGTCATATTTATTGAAAGACATTTCACATGTTCCTTCTCTTTCCCCTCTCCTGCAGGTTGGAGGTACATCCTACAGTGTCCAGGGCACGCTGACCGGTGAGGGTGACGCCCTTGAGATGACCAGTGTAGTAGACGGTCAGAAGACAACGTCCACCGTCGTTATGCATGAAGATAGTATTCACCTCTTCTCACCAGATAATGTAAGTTTGAGGGTTAAATTAATCATACCCTTACCAAGTTTTGTAATATTTGCAGTATGTGAAAAATTGATTTGTCCCAGTTTATGTGTCTTGTGGATGTGACATGTTAAAGCTTACATCTGAAAGTATTCAACAAAGGCTCCAGTTCAACCAGTCCATCTTTCATTCTTGAGTTACGAAAAGCACACCACAATTTTTTTAACAAGATTTATGAACAGTTCAGTTGTTAATTGTATGTACATGTATGTGAAAATGCTTTTGTTAAAAAAAAATGATGTGGTAATTCAGCTGGAAAATAATTGGCACGATGAAAGATAAACCATTTTATGCTTGAAAGGATGGCTCATTAGTTAACGAAAAAAACAAAACTGAAATGGGATATAACAAAGGCATTGATGCATTTCCCATGACTTCCATGTTTTAATGAATTGAAATGCCCTATGCTTATTTAATTCATGGTGGTGTGGCATGTTGAATTTCTTTTTTGGGCCATTCATTATGTCCTATCTGTATGAGGCTTAAGAGGATGGTTTTTGTAGTGCAAGGCTGACACTGCACTGTCATGTGCCAAAAATATAAAAACTCAAACTGATTTGCCTCTTAAAAAACAAAAACGTCTCTTTGCCCATAATAACATTTGGAATAGTGTATTTTCAAGAATAATAATAGTGTGAGTGGTGAAATCCTTTTATTTTCCTTATGTCTGTCATATTTTATAGTCACGGTGCTGTAGTAGTAATACCACTTTTATATGTGAACATACTCAGCTCTGCAGAATAAGTTGGTCATTCTAGCAGTGACTCATAACTGATCATGTTTCCCCATCTCCCTCTCCCCCTCTTTCTCTCTCTCTACCCCACTCCCTCTCTCTCCCCCCTCTCTCTCCCGTTTAGATCGGAGGTGTTGAGGTGACCAGACCGGTCCCAGAGTTCCTCAAGGAGTCCGGTGCTGGAGGTCATGGTGACCGCGCCCCTATGCCTGGTGACATCACTCATGTCTATGTCAACTCAGGAGATAAGGTGGAGAAGGGGCAGCCTCTACTTGCTTTAGAATCTATGAAGATGGAGGTAAAGTCAAGGGTTCCTACTTTTTGTCTTTATTTTGTTGTATTTCTCCCTCCTTTATTAATTATCCATGAAATTTTTTATCTTGCGAGTTTGAATTTGTTTTTATCTCAAAACACCATTAAGAGGGGTCCTATCATCAATCTGTTTTCTTGGTGAACATGCAATGCTGGTGTTCTTGTATATTGGCAAATATGAGTTTTAAAAATATATATATTGAAGTCATGTATGTTCTACTTGTCTCCTAATCATTTCTGCAAACACTGCATTCATTTTTGTTTCATTACTATATTGCATTTGATGCCAATAATTTTTAAAAAGAAAAAGAAAGTTAAAATCCTTAAATTGTCAACACATTGAGAGAATAGAAATTGTATTTTTTGATAAAAACTGGCCATTTAAATAACCTTTTAAACATTATTATTGGCTGTGTATATTGTTTTTAGAGAAATTGCATTTAGTTCTATCCTTGTAGCGATAAAAGAAAAATATAATTGTTGCCAATTTGAAGAGCAATACATGATCAATTAAGCCCTCAAAATATATTTTAAAAGATTTTAAAAGAGAAATGGAATTGAGTTGTACTACAACACTCCTTTCTTCACTTGTTTGTTCTTTGCTCCCTGCAGTATGTGATCCGTGCACCAAAGGATGGCGTCATAGACAGGATTCTGGTTGCTAAGGGTGACAATGTCCAGAAAAACGCCCCCTTAGTTGCTTACCAAGACAAGTAAAGCAGTCTCCGTGGAAATTAATATTTATAAAAAGTAACAATCGCAAAAATAATGGTATTTTTCGGGTCTTATGGTTCTACAATGTACATGTAGTCACTGTAGATCATATTTTTTATTATGTTGTTGGAATGGAGAACGGCAAATTTGCCATGGACTATGAAGAAGCTCATCACTTCAATATCAAATTTTATGAAAATTAAGATCGAAAAGGTTTCTTCTAAAGCAAGAGGAACGTGATTACCTAGTCCTTTTTCTTTTCTTAGCCTTCATAGGCATAGCACCAAACTTTCTGTGGAGCTTTGAACAGTTAATCTTTCAATGTGCTATTCAGATAATTATTATAATGCAATTTTTGTTGTTGACATAAAGCATGAAAGAAGCTTCTTTTTTTCTTTTTTTTTTGTGGCTTGAAGATTTTCAATGTACTTGTATATAAGAAGTAAACTATATGGAGCAAATAATATTACATGGGTGAAATGCCATTCAGTCCACAACCAGATCGTCTACTACCCAATTGGTCTTTTCCCATATGGTCTACTCCCAGCCGTCTACTCTATCCAGATGGTCTAATGATCATTTCCTCTACTTATCATTTGGTCCATTGTTCATTTAGTCTAATAACCGGTTAGTTTGATTCCCAAATTGTCTAATTCAAATTTTGTCTACCCCCCAAATAGTCCAATAATCATGTGTGATTAAAATGATAATTAGACCATATTGATCGTAGACAAATTGGGCACTATACAAACTGTAAATTAGACTAAATGAGCAACAGACCAAATGGTTAGTAAACTAATTGGAAAGTTATTAGACCAAATGACTATTAGCCTAAATGGTCATTAAACCAAATGATAATTTCGAAATGATTATTAGACCATGTTCGAAGACGGGCTTGGTGTAGACCATATATAGTAGTAGAGTCAGTAGACCAATCCCATAGTAGACAAACTGGTTTTAGACCAATCAGCAATAAAGTTAAAGCATTTCATGTTTATCCAAACTCTCATTACCCAATATTGACACTTCATGTTCATGGAGCAAAATGATTTATGAATTCAATTCAATGTCCACTTCCAATTATTTATTGACTATTCATGGGGGCCCCTTCTTGAGATGACAAACGGGTGATATATTATTCTACGAGACTCGATGTATTCCTATTTAAAGTGTAGTCAATGTGATCCTACTACCGGTATCTAATCAAATATCTGTATTTCAAATATAAGAAAATGAGAAATGACAAAATGAGAAATTATTGAGCTTGCCAAGCAGTATTCATTTTAGCAAAAAGTGCTGTAAGAGTGTGCTTTCGATTTGCTTCTGCACTTTCTTCATTATTTCATGTTTGGATTGAAGTACGGTAGTGAAAATATAATATACAGGTAAGTCATGATATGTATATTATATGTAATGATATTATTGTTATTATTTAAAATTGCATAAGTAAAGCCACAAACTGTTTTCTGAATAAGAACAAATGTATGAAATACATCAGTGTTCATAATTTATGAAATCCGTAGTCACCTACATTTGTATTCACACCGCTGCTGCCGCTAGACTGACAATAAACCAAACAAGCAATAATGGTACCCCGAATGGCCAAGAATCAGTCGGTTAATTCAGAGTTGGTTTATAATAGATTAGTGACGGGTGACTGTAGTATCACCTCATCTAAAATCGATCCTTTCGTACCTCACTAATCACCTAAAATAATGATTTGTGTACAGCTAGAATGTATAAAAACCAAGCTCAACTATTTTTATACACCTTTATATGTGTGAAGGGATATGAAAAAGTATGAAGAAAATAAATAACATGAAACCTCGTACACAGAACCCAAGTCGGAGCTGGGTTCCATCCTAGTCCTGTTTTAAGAGAGCGTGTCAATGACAATGACAATGACAATGACAATTTATTCTCATGTCACCCACATTGGGGTATTGGAGAAGTTTACAATCAGTTTGAATTTGTCAATTAAACACTGTGAAATATACAATACAAATAGAATTAATGTTAATCCATACAAAATAACATTATATTCCACGTACTAAGAATCTTGCTCTACGATTGGTCATAAGTAAATCACGTGACCAAATATAGTTCGCCCATCATTGATGGGAGAAGCAAAAAGTTCATGTAAATGTGAGGTGTCTACTCCCGAGTCGCTTTTATGTTAACCAAGCATATTTGAACTTGTGAAATCTGTTTAAGGAAATAATATTTGAAGGTCATATTTTGAATATAGTATTAGGTCATGGGGTCACTGACATAGGAAACAGATTATTTTTTTTTTGGTGATTGATACAATTTAAAATGCTTATAAGATTGTATACCTCATTCAAAATCATGATTAGTAACAGTTCAAGCATTTCTAAATAGAATGTAGAAATAAAGGAATAATTGAAAAAGGAAAATTATTTAAGATCTCTTGCAATGATCATCTCAGGGAAAATGAAATGGAATTTAGATTTGGTTTGTGGTTCAAGTCCTGCTGTGGCACTCGTATCCTTTGAAAAGACATTATTCTACATTTGCCACTCTCCACCCAGGTGTAGTAAATGAGTACCTGGTAAGAATTTATACCTTGAATGCTTTTAGCGTGTGTAGGTGTCGTGAGCATCCCTTGGGATGGGTATGTACACAATATAAATATAGCTATTGTAACTTCTTCCTCTGTAAAAGGAACCAAAGCTGTCAAACACATTTTAAGGAATATAATTCTACAATATTGAGAAAATTATCTGAATGCCAGCCAGTGATATGCTGCAATATATACTTGTAGGTGAATAGTAAGTGGGAAAATGGATATCATATGTATGTATATACATGTATGGCACATGTACTGGTTTTGCTGGAATTTGGTTGAAATAAACAGATTTGTTGTGATGTTATGTATGATACAGAAAATAAAGAAAACAGAATAATAAACACTTGACTACATGTAATTCATTGCTTTAGCTGTTTGAATAAAATGTGAGACTGGGGTTGAAATACATGTAGGTGGAAAATGAAACAGAGAATGGGTAACTAGTGGAATTAAGACTGAAACAATAAATTGATGAAGAGAAAAGAATAATAAATCTTGTGTTTGGGACAGCCCACAGTAGAATAACAGAGAAGGGTATGAGAAGAGAATTGAGAAATGTAGTGAATGAGAGATAGAAAATGAAAATTAAGGATAGAGTAAGCAAGGGGAAGAGTTTTTGACAAAGAATACATGTAGGAATAATAAGAGTTGAAGAGAAAAAGAGTTGAAGAGAAAAAAAGCTGATTAAGACATAACAAGTAAGAGGAGAGAAATATGAATCAAAATGGGTGATAGAACATACACGATTCTATTAAAGGGAATCCAACCTCGGTAGCAAGCGGATCTAATAAACAGTATAATAATCAGACAAGCACATTGGTGAAAGTTTGAACCAAAATCGGACAACAAAATGAGAGAGTTTTGAATTTTTGAAAGTTGTAATCACCATACATATAGGAACCCCAAATTGGCTGAAACGGTAATGTCACTGTGATGTAGTGCTCAACAACTTTCCACATTTTGTTCCACTGCATAAACTAATTTTTTTTTTTGTCCAAATGTATGACTCGCGAGTGAATTTTCTTTCTAGAGGACCTATAGTGATAAGCTATCCATGATATATTTTGAGAAGTATTCCAAAGGAGAAGGCACTGTAAAGAAAAAACAGAAATGAATAATATTTTAGTTCATGACAAATGGGAGAGTTGTCCTTGACTATGTCACAATCAACTGAACAAATTGCCAATTTGAGATTTGCATAGCTGTAATGATTTCATACTTCAAACATTAAAGTCTCTGTAAATACTATTTGTTCTTTTTATTTCAAACTTCGGCCATTCTGTTTCTCTGATTTTTCTGCTTTCACACAAATGAACTTATTATGAAGGTTGGATTTCTCTTTACCCAATTACAAGGAGACAGCTTAAAGGAAAGGAATGAAATAAAAAGAAATTACCAAGGTGACAGAAAACAGTAAAAAAGAATGAAACATAATTATAGATAAGTAATAAGTTGGATAAGATAAGATGAGGTGGAATAAAGTGGAGAAAAAATATACAGCAAAAAAGAAAAATGTCAACACTGAAAGAGAAGAAAATGTTACTTGCACAACACCCCAATAATAACATGTTCAGCTTGGCTTTTTCCTTGCTGTCAATATTCATTTTAATATACATATGGTGATGCACCATATCATAAGTTCGAAAAATACATTTTACAAGCGGTGGGCACTTGTTGACAAATCTTCCATGCAACATACAGTGTAATGATGGTGTGTAAGTCCACCAAAAAAGATCTCTGTAGTAATTAGAATGTTACAACATATGAGACCAACAGTTTCTTTTATGAAGGGAAATATACTAAGATCGACTTAAGTTCGACTTGAACTATGGCAGGCCATTCATGCCACTGGTTGTGCTCACCTGTTCTCTCAAGGGACGTACAAATAGTGGTCACAAATCTACAGAATTTTTTATAAATCATTGTTGAAGAAAAAAAAGATTGTTTAAATTTAAGTTCTATTTAAGACTTGGACTCTTCGGTTTTAAGTGTACCTCACTCCCTCTTGAACAGAGGAATTTCTGGATGAAGGTATGAAAACTGTTTTCAACATTACATATCATGTTTGTAAAAAATTAGCTCAAGAAAAAAGAGATCTGCATATGCCACACTTCTAACCCTGCCCCATACTCTGTGATGCAATAGGTCACCAACTCTGTTTTTGTGATCTCTAATGCACACTATACGATCTTCCTGCGATCCAATTTTTGAAGTAATTGTAATAATATCACATATGGAAATCTAAACAAGGTTATCTTGATTTGGGTTCTGAATAATGATAACTTCTACTTATCATTCTAGTCTGAATAAATGCTGAATCGGCTTGAAACGGTAGAATCTGATCGCAATTTTGGTCATTGCGATTCTGAGCCAATTTCTCTTTTCCTCCAAGGAAGCTTGAAATCCCTTGAAATTTAGATTTTTAGATTTCATTAATCTGAGACTATTCAGATTTTCGATCAATGAAATTGAACAAGGTTGAATATTCACTTCAAATGATACTGCAAGTCTTTTTAGATTGGATCGTAGTCAGATCATGTGGTGTACACCTTGAACAGTCTTAAAAAGTTCCTTTGTGTACATTTCCCCAACTGCCAATTCTAACAAGACTCTCCAAAGCATGTGGCCAGTAGAAAACTCTTCCTGTTAGTCCATCCATGCTGCCAAATTGCCATGAGAGAATGCTAGAATGACCAACATGGCCACCAGATAATGTTTCAGTTCACTTCATCAGTTTATCCTGCCAATTTGCTAACTGAGGGTGGTAAGAACCATTGACCCACATGGCCATTGTTGGTCACCAGAGATGTTTTCATGTTGCTTCCTCAGTCCAGGGGGGTGTTTCACAAAACTTGTCATCAGTGACAAATGACAGTTTCTGTTATAAGCTACTGAAATCCTTGCTTCTGATTGGTCATCAGCAGATTTGTCACTGATTTTAGTCATTTGTCATTGCAAAAAGGCATTGTGAAACTGGTCCCAGTTGCCAATTTGCAGTGAGCAGGGAATGCTAGGAAGTGTCCATATCGTTCTGTTCTGACTTGTAATGGCGATACTCTGCTTTGAGCTCCCACATGTACTTGTGTGGCGCCTTCTGGTGGTAGGTTCCTATCTCTTGGAGCATCTCCTTCAGGTATGGCTGCAGCGAATTAAACAAAGCGATTGCAATCAAACATGGAGTCTTACTGTAGGACTGTGTGTCATATATAATCTAATGCGGTAAAAATATGAGGAAAGCAGATTGTCATGAAATGACATGATTTATCTACATGATATATAGATATATATGGCTGTTGTATCAAGAATACAAATTCAATCAATATCCTGGTTTGTCACCTTAAAGGCATTGTTTAACAATGGTTTTCATGACGCAAAAGAAAATGTTACAGATATTGATTTAATACTTCATTATGCTTTAATTGCAACCTATAAAGCGAGTGTTGGAAATCAATTTAATAAAAATGTAGTGACCAGAATAATAAGCAAATATTTTTTGTTTATGTTGAAATACAAAATAGAAGTAGAGGAAAACAAAACTAAGACAATGAATTTGAATATTATTAAGTGGAAGAAGACAATTACTAATTTAAAATCTGCTATCAAGTAAATAGAGATATAATTTGATTTGACCTCATTTAGACATGTGATTAAGTGCTTTGTTATGAATATTTATGTACTACGATGTTATCCATGATTTTATCTGAATAAAGATTTTTTTTTTTTTTTAATTTAAAAAAAACAACAATGTTTCCAGTTTTACAAATCTGAGATGGCCTTACGTGATACCAGTGTCTGTGAAATGGTGTAATATTGAAGCCCTTCTAAAATTGCGCTTCAAAATGATCATAAAGTCTTTCAAAAATGTAAAAATCTTTGAGTGACCAGTTTTAGGATACTCATATTCCCCAATAGACTGTGGTGTTATAATTTTGAAATTTTGAATTTACGTCCTGAACTTACCACAGGTTGTTGAGTTATCCTACAGAGGTCCTTTAGTTGGTAGAACTGGTGAGTCTCAAATGCTGAGAACAAAATGTCCATCAATTTCTCCTTCTCCAGACGAGGCTTCTTCCCTTCCTCCTTCTTCTTCTTCTCATAGGCAGCCTGACAGGGGGAGAGAGAGAGAGGGTTAGGTTAGGAAAGATTCAATCATTTAAATGGGAGGACGAAGGGGGAGAGGAGGAGGAAAGGAGGAGGAGAGGAGGGGGAGAGGAGGGGAAGGGGAGGAGAAGGGGAGGGAGGGAGGAAGGGAGAAGGGTAGGGAGGAGGGAAGAGGGGGAGAGAGGGTGAGAGAGAGGGTTAGGTTAAGAAAGATTCAATCATTGAAATGAGAGGACGGAGGGGGAGGGAGAGAAAGATAGAGATAGAGAGAAAGATAGAGAAAGATAGAGACAGACAGAGAGAGGGAGAGAGAAAGATAGAGACAGACAGAGAGAGGGAGAGAGAGAGAGAGAGAGGGATGGAGAGAGAGAGAGAGAGGGGGAGAGAGAGAGAGGGAGAGAGAGCAAACAAGAGAGTGATAAAGAGAAGGATAGAGATATACAGACAGACAGAGATAGCTAGAGAGAAGTTAAACTGAAAGAGAATCTTTGCTCAATGCATCAAATATCTCCTGAAAGATCATCTACTGTTGAGTCTATCTATGTTTCAGAAAAACATAATCATTACTTATCAATCCCCTAAAAGTAAACAAAAAGAAATCCACAAAATACATATTAAAGTGTCTTCATTCGTATACATTCAATAAAAGTATGACCATGATCCAGATTTACCTATATTCCATTTCATGTTAAACCATGACGTAAATAGGAGGAAATAAAATGTACATGTCTCAGATATTCATTTATATGATATTCGTATCAACTGCCTTTTTTAAAAGGAATACAGACAACAGGAAGAAAAGTCATTAATATTGCTTTAATAAGAGAAAATGAAAAACAAAAAAGGAAAGGAGTAAACGTGTACAAGAAAAGGAAAAATACTTACAAGTTCTTTATGTCTTGAGATGGGTTTGTATGCGTTGACAGGTCTGTCTTTGATCTGTTGTGTGACCTTGGTTGGTTTGTGTGCGAGCTCTATCTGCTTCCTGTTAGTTCATTCCATTCAATGAAAACAAAATCAGTTTAACATTGAACAGAATGCAGTCAAGTATTGAATGGAATAGAGTGGTGACATCATAAAAAAAAATTCTTCATTTTCTGAAAGAGCATCAAAAATAATGTCCAAATGTCAAAAACCAATTGAATATGTTAAGTATTGGCTGAGATATGACCATCTGAATAAATAGATTTCCTATAGGAGCTCAGTGTTATTTTGCTCTGGTTCATAACATTAGAATTATGATGTCACAGCTTCGGTACTCTATACAGTCGAGATTTAAACAGAATTCAAGCAAATATACAATGCAATAAAGAAAACAGATTTCAATGTGATGTTCACTAAGACACAGTGACAGCCACCCATTGAATGGAATACAATGATGAAGAATACAATCAAATATTCAATGTAATAGAATTAAAAATGAATTGCTACATTCTTAATACAGATTAACAACATTAATTCAAAGCAATAATAATAATAATAATAATTGATTCTTATTGAGCGCTACTACAGACAAACTGATCAGAGCGCTATACAACAGAAAAGAGACATACAAATCATAACAATTAAACAAGGAACAGTAATTAAGATATTATGAACAAAAAGAAAATTTAGCTACTCAAAATGTACATTATGGATTCAAGATGGAAAGAGTTGGGTTTTAAGTTTCTTTTTGAAAGTGTCTTCTGTACTACATAGGCGGAGGTGTTGTGGTAGAGTGTTCCAGGTGGATGGTCCAGCATAAGAGAATGAGCGTTCGGCTGCCTTGGTGTTGGTGCGTGGGATCAGTAATAGTGTCTGATCGTTCCGTGAACGCAGATGGTATCTGGAAACTGGAGGAGTAGTAAGCATGATAGACAGATAGTGTGGAGCAGAATGCATTAAGCACTTGTACACTAAAAGTGCTAGTTTGAATTCAATTCGCTGTTTGATGGGAAGCCAGTGTAGTTGCTTCAACAGAGGAGCACTTGGCTCTCTTTTCTTTGCACCAAGCACCAGACGAGCCGCTCGATTTTGAATTTTTTGAAGTCTTTTTAAATCCCCGGCATTCACATTTGCCAGAAGGGAATTACCGTAATCAAGCCTGCTCAAAACTAGAGAACGTACTGCATGACTACAAGCTTCACCTGTAAGGTACTTTCTCACATGACATATGTTTCTCATATGGAAATTGGCCACCTGGCACACTCTACGAACATGTTCCGACATTGACAAAGTCTGGTCAAAATAAACACCAAGATTTTTAACAGTTGTTGATGGATCAACAGTGGCGTTTCCAATCTGCAGGCTCAGATCACCTGAAGGGCGGAGTCTGCTGGATGACAGAATGATGATTTCCGATTTGTCTTCATTAAGTTTCAGCATATTGCTTGTCATCCATCGACTCAACTCGCCTATACATGTTTCCAACCTATTGCAGGCTTCATCGAGACTAGCTTGATTGCGTGGATCAAAACTACAATAAATCTGAGTATCATCTGCGTAAAGATGATACTGGAGATCATGGCGTTTGATGATATCTCCAACAGGTCGGATGTACATCGTGAAAAGCTGAGGCCCAAGTACTGAGCCTTGCGGAAGGCCGTATCTAGTGTAATGAGTTTCAGAATATTTCCCCTTCACAGAGACACGTGAGGAACGTCCAGTGAGATACGATGTAAACCATTGAAGGGCTGTCTCCTTTATGCCATACTCAGTCTGAAGTCTTGACAGCAGAATAGAATGATCTATGGTGTCAAAGGCAGCGCTCAGATCTAGTAGCACAAGTAGTACTCCCCTCTTCTGGTCAATCTGTTGAAGAATGTCCTGCTTTACACGAAGCAGGGCAGTTTCCGTGCTGTGGGAAGGCTTGTATGCTGACTGGAATTGCTCACGAAGATCATGATCACCAAGATACGACGAAAGTCTGGTAGACACTGCAAGCTCAAGTACTTTGGACATGAAGGCGATATTCGATACCGGACGATAGTTCTTCATGACCTCGTGGTCAAGCGATGACTTCTTCAGCACAGGGAAGATGATAGCCTCCTTCAACTTATCTGGAAATACACCGGAAGTGATGGACGAATTCACAATCTGGCTCATGATAGGTACAAATATTTTGACGCAGTCTTTCAGAAGCCATGTAGGCAGTGGGTCGAGATTACAGGATTTTGTAGCAGCTCGTCGGACAATCTTCTTGATCTCGCTATCGCTCACAGGGTCAAACACAGTTAGTGATGGCCCACCTTCCAGAGGAGGAGCGGTGACCAGGGGCAGAACACTTACTGGTGTTGTGGAATCGAGAGATTGTCTAACTTTGGAGATCTTGTCGTCAAAGTAGTCCGCAAAGTCATTACTCAACTGAAGATCATCATCGGCGTGGTGTGGCGATTGCCGATTTTTCCTTCCAAGTAGAGAGTTGAGGGTAGTATATAGACTTTTAGGATTCGATGTCAGAAATGCGTCGGTGTAAAAACTTTTCTTTGCAGTCTGGATAACCTGAGTGACATAGTTCTTCTGCTTGATGAAAAGTTCACAATCACATGCTGCTTGTGTCTTTCGCCATTTTCGCTCAAGATTCCGTCTCAGCTGTCTAGCTTCGTGTACCTTGGCGTCGTACCATGGTACACAGGGTCGTTGTTTCCTCGTGCGAGTTGACACTGGGCAGTGATTGTCTAGGACGCAACTGATAGCATCGTTATATGAGTCTATTGCAGAACTAGCATCATCTGCGGACAGGTCGCCGAAAGCTCTCTGAAGATCTTGGCCAAATAACTTTCGGTCAAGTTCGCGATAGTTCCGAGATGTAATTGTCACCCTTTTCTCGACATCTGGGTTCACAGTCGTCAGCTTACAGTAAACATTGTAGTGATCTGATAGTCTTTTATCAACAACTAGGCACTTGGATACAAGATCACTATCCCTGTGAGACATTACCAAGTCAAGTGTATGACCCATATTATGGGTAGGTCCCGTCACATACTGCTGGAGTCCTGCTGCTGACATGGAACTCAGAAACTGATGACTCTCTCTATTCTGTGCGACGTCGACGTGGATATTGAAGTCTCCTACAACCAGAAGTTGTCCATTCAGCATGGCACAACTACTGAGGAAGTCGTCGATTTCATCTAAAAATCTATTCACCGTATGCCCATTGGCTGCCGAGGGTGGTGGCCGGTAGACTGCGACGATGTTCAGATTGTTTGGATTGTCCTTGATACATACATACTCAAATGAAGTTGGTCGCTGGTCTATCTCCTTGAGCTTGAGATTTAACTTTGACTTGAACAGAATGCCAATACCACCATGACGACCACCTTCTCTAGGAATATTAAGGAAGGAGTAGCCAGGAGGAGAGAACTCACTGATGACTGCCGTGTCATCCTTTGCGAGCCAAGTTTCTGTAATTACAAGTATGTCAATGTCACCTTCAACCACGAGGTCATGAATTTCCAGAGTCTTGTTCCGCACCGAGTGGGCGTTCCATAGACATAAGGACATGTCCGATTCTCGAGTAATGGCTGCCTTAGCGATGTACCTGAGATTACTTCTGTTCACCCCATGTTGACCACAGTGCTGGGTTCTCTGAGAAGAAGAAAGTGTCTTAATTTTTCTCTGCTTACGCCTTCCAGCACGTTTCCCTCTGTGTGTTGGTGGACATGAAGAAATACCTAGATCCCTAATAGTTTTCCATAGGCCCTCTGGTAATCGAACCTTATCATGTCTACGGAGATCAAGAATTTGGTCTTCATTGTATGCTCTACCTAATCTTTCCATAGCTGAGAAGGATGGGCAAGCACCTATACAAATAACAAAGAATGACTTTGCATTGTCAAGTCCATGGTCAAAAGAGTCAAATCCACCACCAGTAGAATGAAGAAGCAGTAGACCATGAATCAGTATAGGTAAGATGGTGAGGCCTATAGCCCAATGTACAAGAATAGCCATTTGAGATACATATATACAAAATAACAAAATAACAAATATACATGAAATGCAAACAGAATTCAAAATAAAAACTTGCTCAGGTTATTCTAAAGGCTGTAATACAACACCTCATACATAAAAGAATGAAGACAACTTCCAAAAAGATACAGTATTTTACCCAAACTTGAGAGCTCACAAATTAGTGTGGCAGCCTGCTAGGCCCACATGCTAGGCACCACATATAACATTCAATGAGCCATATTCCACCCATGTATTGGATTGGATCTTCATTTCATGGTCCATATGACTATTTTGAGAAAGGCCAGTAAATGAATACAGCGGAACCTCAGTAAAAAGAGCTCTGATAAAATGAGGTATCTGTTCAGTATTACAAGGTGATTTCGCTGGCCCCAGCTCTTTGACATTCCTATGTCTTTTTACCCCGATATTACAAGATTCCTGATATAACCAGGTAATTTCCTTGGTCCCAGGGACCTCGTTATAATGAGTTTCCACTGTAACAATGTCTTCATTTTCATGTACATCAGCATTCATGTTCAAGAAAGTAATGAATGAATATAAATGCAATTTTGAGAAAGAATGAATTATGTTTTACAAGAAACATACCTTTTCATCAGCATATATGAATCACTTCCGACAGGTCTGCACTCCAATCGCTCCACAACCTTTCCTTCCACGGATAATTTATCTTCCGGTATGAAAAGAAAATAAAACATGCGGGAAAAGAAAAGAATTAAATATATCCTTTCCATTATACGGCCTCTACAATTTCTAATATTGATGAATACCATTGTAATACAGTGCGACCCAGCAAAAACGAAACTGAGAGTTATCGATGTTTTATCATAACTTAATCACAATTTTGATTACTGAATGACACAGATCCTCTTCTTTCATTTGATGCAACTCATATGATGCATATTTCATGCATGAGTGATTAAAATGGATTTGAAGAGAGAGAACCGAAAAGTCATTTGGCGGGCGGTATCTGAATTTCAAAGAGAAAATCACATTTTTAGAAAATTCAGTTATTGCCCTTTCATATAATACCTCAATCAGGAAAAATGAGCAAAGAATATCAAAGTTCTTTCTTTCCTTCAAATTGCTTTTAATCACTCATGCATGAAATATGCATCATATGAGTTGCATCAAATGAAAGAGGAGGATCTAAGCTTTACAAATATGTGTCATTTATTAATTATAATTGTGATTAAGTTATGATAAAACAAAGATAATTCTTGGTTTCATTTTTTCTGGGTCACACTGTATACTGCTTTTGGTGTCTTACACTCAATAACCACAATTCACATAAATTCTAAAGTGCAAGTGCTGACAACGGACAAAGTCTGAAATATCTCATTTTAGATGTACATGCTAAGTTACAATGACAGTTACATCTGGCCAAGTAACTGTTTTCATATACCTGGGTGGAGAGAAGCAATTCAGATAAAATACCTTGGTCAAGGACACAAGTCCATACCGATATCATGACCCTCGCATCTCCAGGGCCCTGTCCTGCAAAGAGTTGCGATTGATCCAAATCAATCGTAAGTCCTCCAATCAATCCCAACTTTGCAGTCTCCTATCTCTTATGTACATAGTTGCGATTGATATCAATCGCAAATAAGTTGCAATTGATATCAACTATTTGTAAAACGGGGCCCAGGAGTGTTGAAACCAACCAACGACACAACTTCAAATGTAGTCCTTGGTTTACTAACCCACTCTGATTTAATACCCACCTGTAGTCCCCGTTGAGTAGACCATCATGGTACCTGGCAGGGCGCTCATCACTTGCAATTTATGTTCTACCGGTATATCAGGATCATCAGGAGTCAGCTTGGTCTTTGCTACACGTTCATCCATTACCAGCGAGATGTCAGGCTTACCAAACTTTCTGTTTGGATAACAAAGAGACAGAGAGGTGTTGTGGTCTAATAGGTAAGTCATCGGATGGTGGATCACAAGGTACAGGGTTCAAATCCCTCCCCCCCCCCATCCTTTGGAAAGACATTAATCAACAGTTGGCACACTATACCCTGGTGTAGGAAGTGGGTACCTGGTGGAATAACCATCCCTTGACATTCACAGATAATGGTTGCAAGAGTTAAAGCCAGATCAATACATTACAACACTCTTTGGAATCACATGGGGATGATATATCATAATGTGATAATGTGAACAAGTGAATGATTTTATATTGTTAGTCCAGGGAAAAAATTACATTAAACATTTCGGGGGCTACTTTTCAAGCTTGCTTGCATGAAATAACACTCTTTAATTTGTTTTGCATTTAACTCTATGCAAAATTTGGGGGCTCTTTTAACACTTTCGGGGGCTAATTCGCCTGAGCCCCCATGTATTTTTGTCCCTGTGTTAGTCCAGAGTAGTGATGAAGTCAAGCCTGGCTATATTATGTCCTAGTTTGGTCTCTATACCATGACCATATATCATGTTAATAAAGGAAGATAAATAACAGTTTCATCATGGACTAACTACCGGTAGGCGTTGCGGCGTGAAACCTGCTATCCAGCTAACATTGTAAAATACAAACTGATTCAGCAGAGGACGCAGGTTCGAAACTGAGTCACGTCTTTCGGATGGTGACGTTAAAAGGTCGGTCCCCAGACGTAAATAATTATATCTGATTGATACACGTCTGTAAAACCCCAATACACACACATGACTTGATATTGTGACCAACGGTCTTGACTATATTACAGTTAAAGGGGAAGTCCACCCTGAAATTAAGTTAGTTTTAATAGGAGTAGAAAAATGAGAGAAACAAGTCAGTGAAAGTTTGAGCAAATTCCGATTAAAAATAAGGAAGTTAGGATTTTTGAAGTTGTGATCAATCAAACACAAATTGGCAACTCTATGACGTATCATGCGAGCTCAACTTCCATTTGCTCAGTACTAAAAAAATCTAAAATTTTCATTTTCCCTCAAGAAAAATTTCAACCATACATGCACCCTAAATATAATAATTGCAAATATGTTTCTATACTCCCCCTGCAAGGAACAAATATATATTCCGTCATCAATAACGAAGAAAACATGATTTTATGGAATATTATGCACAAAGCAAATGAAGGAGAGCTCGTATATTAAGTCACAGAGTTGCCAATTTGTATTTGATTGATCACAACTTCAATAATTCATAACTTTCTTATTTTCATTCAGAATTTGCTCAAACTTTCACTCACCTGATTTTCTTATTTTTCTGCCTCTATCGAAACAAACTTATTTTGGGGGTGGACTTTCCCTTTAATAAATCTAGGCAATGTCTCTCAAATGAAAATATAGTAAATTGACAAACGATTCCTTTCATCCTTGATCTTCTTTCCTTTTTTCTTTTACTTTAGGAGCTCCTTCCTTGACATTTATCCTCAAATACTGTTAATATATTTTAAAGGAAATACTTTATTCTTATAACAAATACAACAAAATTTTGAATGAAATGTTTATATATTGGTCTTTTCCAATACGTGCTTTAATTTGTTACTTTTTATCTTTTGCTACTGAAAGTTTCTTTTTCAATTATCTTCTCGTTTTAATCCGAGTTTGAGGACATTTTTGCAGATGCAATTTGGTGTCGAACTGTTTACTATCTTTCTTAGCAATCCCTTTTCTTACTTTCCGACTCGTATCTTTCCGATGTGGCCATTCTTGTCAGATTTTTCCCACCTCTGTGCAACATACTTTGGAACCTGAAAAGAGGAATAATTGATAATTAATTTCAGTATTTTTATAGATGATCAGATTTATCCTTATTACAAAAAAACATAAAAAATAATTTAATATCAAACCAAGAAAGATTTAATCTATAGTTTTACAATGTGATAAAAAAGTGTCTTATTTTTTTTTAGTCTAGAGATCTATGTTACATTTGTTTTAAAGTGTAGTTCTGCTCAAGTAATGATACTCAAGCCTCAAAACCAAGGTATACTGCAGGTTTAACTTAATAATGGGTGGACTCTAGGCCTAGACCCTAATTTAAAAAAATTAAAAATTTGTCATTGGTTAAGTTAATGAACTTGGATCGAGGATGAGGTCAACAATAAAAGTGAGGTGATGGGAGGGGTGCAAACGATACTCCTTTTTATCAAAATAAAATTGTAAAATAAAACTAAAATATGTTAGATCTAGACCCTAGTCATCAATTATTTGATCAAAGACAAACTTAACAACATGCCAAACCTTAGACCGAATTTTCTGTCTCTTTTGTTCGTTAGTTCTGATTTGGGTAGGGTCGGCTCGTCTCTGTCTCTTTCGTTCGGCTAACGAACGAAAGAGACAGAAAATTTGGCCGAGTCAAACCTATGGCTATATAATATGCCAGCCATTGTCGATTCATGATTGTGATTGTCTTGATGCAGGAAAGATTTAGGACAGATCAATTTTCTATATGAACATTCTTACTTCATTTTCTACACATACTTAACACCATCAACACTGCCATAATAATGCAATGGGCACTGACTAAAGTTAGAACTCTTTATCATGTTCATTCACAAGGCATCAACAAAAACAAAAGTGTACTGAAATTCACAATGCAGTCCCATTCGTATCAATCTGTGTTGTGTTTTAAATATGCTACAAAGCTTACCTTGACCAGCCAAATTGGTCGGGCAGAAGCAGTCAAGTCGAGCTCCATTTTAGACGTCATTATTATGAACTTGATAATTCACCGAAATATGACAAAATATTGCTCTAAAAGTATAGAAATATGATTGACATCCGATTTTGGTCTCCTCAGCTGTGAAGAGTTCAAGAATGAAATAATGTTAACAAGTTTTGTCGCAGATGGCGCTACACCTGCGACTTTGTTTAAAGTACCCTTATTTCGTTGGCGACAGAACGCTGACGCAGAGCGTCTTAATGTTGCCGTCGCGAGCCACTTTGTCGAGTTATATTTTGAGGAATATGATACCTGCTTCTATAACAAAATTTAAAAAAAATATTCATGGCTAAAGGCAGGGTGGGATCATCGGAGGAGGAAAAAAAGCCCTTCCCTCCATCCCTATAATGTGTCAAAATGTCTCCCTAAATTTGACAACATATAGTTTCCAACTAATAGTCAGTAATAATAATAATCTGGATTTATTAAGCGTTCAATACGAAATGTCGTCTCTAAATATAGTTTTAGTTTACCTGCTAGAAATTGTAAAGGCATACAGAACAGTAAAAATATGAGACCAATTTTTGCCCCTTCCTTACACTTATCGAGATTGTTATAGACTTGTGCCTTAAAACAAAGAATTCTGTTATTGCACCTATATGGACCATTCTAATCTGTCATATTGGTCTCATCTCTGACTTGATTTTTTATCTTTTCTCCCTTCCCTGTTTCTGTCCCCATCCCCCTCTTTCTCCTTAATTTGTTCTCATCTCTCTCTCTCTCTCTCTCTCTCTCTCTCTCTCTCTCTCTCTCTCTCCTCTCTCCCCTTTTCTCTTTGTGCCCACTATGACTCTCTTTATCGTAATCCCGTCCCTTACTTTTCTAAGGAAGTTATTATTCTTCTGTCTGTCTCCCTTTCCCTTTCTTTCTTAATTTATTTCTCTCCTTATATCTACGCCTAGATATATTTCGCTGTCCCTCTATTCTCCCTCCCCCCCCCCCCCTCCGCCCCTCTGTCCCTCCCCCTCTGCCCTCTCTCTCTCTCTCTCTCTCTTTCCCTTTCTCTCTCTCTCTCTCTCTTTCCCTTTCACTCTCTCTCTCTCTCTCTCTCTTTCCCTCTTTCTCTCGCTCTCTGTCTTCTCTTTCTCTCTCTCTCTTCATCTCTCCCCTTCAAGCTCTTTCTTCCTTCTTCTCTTTTGATCATCTTACTCTAAAATAAAAACATTCACTTTTACACTTGACGTAATAAAAATGCCTCAAATTATAATTTGTTTTTCTTCAATGGCAGGCAATTCTCCATTTGTTTGAAAAGATCTAGCCCGTGCTTTATTTATTGCACATTGTTACCTGCAGCGTATTTAGGCAGCAAAATGTAAATTGAAACAGTTTTAAATCTTCAAAACTTTAATTGACGACATCAAAGCATATTACTCTTTTTTTGAACTTAACATAGACAGAAAGTTATTTTCACTAAAAGGCGTTTAAAAAAGTGCATCCGACGAACACACAGTGACTGATAAGAAACTTTTAAATTTTCCCCGTTGGAAATATCAGTAACAGTAGGCCTATGATTAAAATTACCTACCCCCTTACATCCGAACCAAGAAAAACATAACAAAAGAGCACAAAAACGAGGAAAGCTGTTATTTCTGGGGGGGGGGGGGGGGTAAACATCTTGAAAGTGTAATGCATTTAGAATAGGAAGAATCGGACTCTTCAATGTATCTGATGCTTTACATGTAGGCGCACATTACCGGGCACATTAATAATAAGTGTAATAAGATGTACAAGATCAAACAAAGCTAAATGACACTCCCAAAGCATGAGTGACAATTTACATCTTGTACACAACTAGGCCTATGTCATTTTTCGACTAATAACAAATCAGGCACAAATTCAAATATTATCTTTGATGAAATTGATAAACCCTCTTTGCAGTTGCTTCCCAGTTTCCGAATGCAGTGGATGGTACCAATCTAGACCATGGAAGGCCGCGTCGTAGTTCACCCAAAACACATCAACACCGGCATCCTTTAAACGATGGAAGTAAAATATTCCGTCGTCCCGTAGAGGATCGTAGCCGCAAGTGGCGATGTAGGCCTTCGGTAATCCTCGCATGTCCTCGCGAAGGATCGGCGAGAACCGAGTATCAAGAACGACGTCTTTGAGTTCATTCCAGATTGCCTCGTTGCCGAAGTCACTTGATTGGGGTGGGGTGTAGTGGGCGGGATCACGGAAATCCTTTGGTATCAGAGAATGATTGAAGATCTTCCGGTAGAGCGGAGAGTTCTTAAATGCCGCAGAGGTGTGGTTGTTTGTCGTCATCTGCTCAACCAGGGAGTCGTTGAGGACTCCGTTAAAGTACGCGCTGAAGCAGAACCCGGGGATGGAGTTCTCGAGCCAGGTTTTCTCACCAAAGACATGGGCGTTCTTCTGGTAGGACGGTGTCTGGTAGTCGAAGTGCTGCAACCACGGGAAGAGATGGACTTGGAGACGAACATTGGGCAGGGTCGGATCGTCGTGGATTGCCTGGACGATCGCGGCCGTCAGGTAACCGCCGGCGCTGTCACCTCCAACGGCAATGCGAGTGGGATCAACGCCGTAGACGTCGGCGTGTCTCATCAACCATTTCGTAACGGCTAACCCGTCGTCGTAGGCCGCTGGGAAGGGATGTTTCGGTGCCAGGCGATAACTGAACGAAAGTAACAGAGAGCTTGCAAGTTCACAAAACACAGTCTTATAAGTGGAAGCATTTTTAACTTGAAATATTAGTACGGTCGTCCTGGGGTCGTTCTTAATCGGGGTTAAGAACAATGTTTTTGATTTTGTTCGGTGATCCAACTATTCCTCATGCGACCTTTGCCCCGGTTTATATTTTGTAAAATTAGGATTAGGGTTGTCATTGCGTTTCATGTTAGGTTAAGGGTTTGGGTTTGGTGTAGTGTTCGATCCAGGATTGAAATAAGGAATATAGTTAGAGTAATTAATTCACCGCCAGGTGATCGTCGCCAAAGCCTATCTCTCTTTAATACTGTGATCATGATCAGTTTGCAATCAACTGATACAGATCAAGTTTGATCGACAAAACAACAACCAAGCCATTTTCTCTTCTACGGTAAACAATACAAATTCAAACTTGCCTCTAAATTTAAAAAAAATAAAAAGGCCTCATTAGAACGATTAAAAAAGATAAATTTTACATCAAATTGACTACTCAATTTTTGTTTAAATTGAATTGAAAATATTTTCTTCTGCAACATACAAATCCAATTACTTTTCAGCGATACAACATATAAAAAATATAATAAACTTTCATAAATTATTGTCTGATAGATCATCATAAAGTAACTTACTCCACAGATATCACAACCATACCATCTAGGTGC